GATGTGCCCCACCCTCCTTCCCATCCCAGGTGTCGGTCTTGTTCCGGAGCTGCCTCAGACAAGCTCAAAAGAGAGTAGACCGCGGGGCCAAACCAATCGTACACAATGCCTCGGCCTGGGATATGGGAAGTGGTGAAAGCTTCACTTGAGTTGATGACCTCTCGTTGTGTTTGCATATAATATTGGAGCAAACGTGCTGCACATCAACCGCGTGATGTTCTTGGCAGAAACTCAGAGTGACATTGTAGGCAACCTGGAGTTTATCCATCTGTCTGTACTCCACCCTCCCGCCTTCCCACTTGCTTATATTGGTTGAACCTCAGCCTCCCCTGAGTTTGCACAAGTGACTTCATTTGTGAATGGCCCTAGTAAGGTTTGATTATGAGGTAAAAGCTTCATTTATCTGTGACCTCTATTTGGACTTCTGTGCTTAGATAACAGGTTTGTTACTAACTCCTGTAATTATAAATCTGTCTCCTTCATCTTGGATACTAATTCTATGATGCTTCTGTAGTTGGAATGCCCCTGAATTGGGAAATGTACAGCATTGGGGCAACTACTAACCTGTCATATTCACATTCTATCAGGCCATCCTTCCACCTAGATCTGTGTGCTGTGTACAGTTCAAGATACTACAGTTATTCCAGTTCTGCCGTAGGATTATTTCAGCTTTACTACTCATCTAGTGAAGACCGATTTATCATCATAACTGCTATGTTATCTTTGTGGATTTTTTAGTTTACTTGCTAAGGCCGAACAGTACAAGGCCCAAGAATATTGCCTCGTACACCTGAAACTTTCTTCCATGTGGACAGTCATCCATTATTTAGCACAGCTATAGATCTGATCAACTCCCAACTGTATCATTTTGTTTCTTGTCCCATTTTTCTTCTTCTTGTCCATGAGATTTTCAAATTCTTCAAAGAAACTGTCTCATAGCTTTGGCATTTACCTCAAAATCTACAAAGTTCTTTAAGGTGACTTCTCTTCCATGATTTAGTGAATTCATTTCTTAAATTTCCCATAAATCATTCATCTAACTTGTTGAATAATCTTTCAGACTTTTTGTAGTTCTTTTATTTAGATTCTGAATTTCATTTTTATTCTGTCTTCCCTTTATTCTGGCTCCTTTTCTCTTTTCCAGTAATAAGAAAACATTAACACCCATAATTTTGCTACTTGATCTGGGAATTTCCTGGTACAAGCTTGACCTAAAAGCAGTTGCCTCTGCAGACCTGAGGTCCCTACCTACAGAACCTGGGACTCTGCTAGCTGTTTACTGGTAAGAGTCTCCAACCTGGGATGCTACTATGGAGGTCCAGTCCCAAGGAGATTACCTCCTCCAACAGTTTACACCATCTATCTCCTTACCCTATCTTAGGCTCAGTTTCTTCCTAGCCAGGTCTGTTCTAAGCTTTCCAGGAGTTGAGAAATAAATGAGATAACACTGTCCTCCCTACTGTAATGTTAATCATATCATGTGTCTGCATATTGGGCCAGTCTTTCCTTTAGTCTAATTCCTTTGAGCTACTTTGAAAGCTCTTATTTTCCATTAGAACTTTTCTAACCATTGGCCTTTTCTAGGAGCTGGGATGCCTGATGCATTCTACAATGTTCACTAATGAAATGGGCGAGTCACTATCTGTTCTATTCTTTGCATAAAGATATTTTTGTGTATGCACTGATGCATGCATGTTTTTATACATACCTAACTTAGCAGTGTACCACTAAGCCACATTGGTTCCTGTGCTTACTTTCCCAGGTTGATCGCAGCCCTGGGCATTTGCACAGGGAAGACAAATCTTTTACTGTAACTTTTCCGTAAATGGCCTCTGGGACAGAGCCAAATGTGTTCAGTACACCCTTCTTTCTTTCTCAGATTAATGATGAAATTTTGTCCCTTGGTTCCAATATTTTGTATTTAGTTTGAAAGAGAACAACCTATTACTTTTTATGTAACACAGACTTTTTAGGGAGTGTTGTTGAGTCTATCAAATGTGTGCTAGTTGGTGTGAGGACAGCAGCAAATGTCCACACACCACCATTGGCTACGGATGGACTGGTTCTCATCTGCTTGGTCTGACACGATTGCCACTTGTCACACGAGGCTGCAGAGCAGAGATGAACCAGAGCAACTGAAGTAGTTTTAAATTTAAAGTTAATTTAATTAATTAAAATGTAACATGTGGCTTTGATAAAGCATTGGTCCTTTTTGTTTCCTTCAAGGTGTCATCACATCTGGCACCCAACTTCCTTTAAACGTGGTCTATTGCTTCTTTTATAGAATGTTTCATTTTGAAATGCTGAGACCTGCATTTTGAAAGATTCTGGTTCATAGCTCATTAGTGAAGTACAGACATTTACATTTATAATTACGAGGAAACCATCACTCTACTATGCTACAGGTGACTTGTGTTTTTAATTCAAGTACTAACTTTGAATATTGCTCTGACACTCTAGCACTCTTACAGAGCTTTGCGTGTTCACTAAACCTTCTGAATGGGGCCAAGTTACTCAGCAGTCACAACTTTCCACTTGCTATCCTGCCTTTTGGTTGGATCCTGTCATTCTGGTTTTCAAATTCCCCGATCATTTAAGAAATGCAAATTCTTGGATGCAACTAGAACCTTAGGAATTTTCAGGTCCTGACTGGAATACTGCAGGCCAATCTTCTGCTTCTCATTTTCCTTTTTGTTTTTCAAAGCAAGCAAACAAGCATACATTCATATGGTATGAAATATAATGCCATGTGCGTGTGTATGTGTGTGTTTTCCTTTATAGTACAAGCTGGGTTCAAAATATTTTGGGGTGTTTTCATTATTTTTAATTATGTGTGTGCTGTGTAGGTGTACACCTGAGTGCAGGTGCCCAAGAACAAAGGGATCAAATATCCATGGAAAAGGTAGTTATGAGCCACTCAATGTGGGTGCTGGAGATTGAACTCAGTTCTAAGAACAGTATGAGCTCTTAACCTCTGAGCCATCTCCCCAGTCCCCACATCTTAAACATTTGACCCTTGTACATTAGCCTCCAGTATACTGGGAAGACAGGCACACATTACACCTAAGGTCAAGATCTTCCACATTCCTTCTCTCAGCTATACAGTACTTCTACCTTAGATGGATTCACCTGTTCCCCAGCAACCAACTGTTGCTTTTAATATTAAGACAATAAAGTTTTCAACTTTGCAGTCATTTAAGACAGGGCCTCAAACTATGATTCTCCTGCTTCAGCTTAAGCTCTGAAATTATAGGCATGCACCACCATGCCCTGCTTATCCTATCTGAAGTTTCATCCTGCCCTCTAACTAGATTATGGAAAATATGAGCTCTCCTTCCATTATCCTGAAGACTCGATTTTAAAGCTCACTTCATTTCTTTAGAGTCCTAGAGCTATTGGGTCAAAGAGCAAATGCCTCAGTTTTGTTAGCTATTGCCAAATTTTCTTTTACTTTTTAAAGATTTATTTATTATACAACATTCTGCCTCCATGTATGTCTACACACCAGATCCCATTATAGATTACTGTGGGCTACAATGTGGTTGCTGGGAATTGAACTCAGAACCTCTAGAAGAGTAGGCAGTGCTCTTAACCTCTGAGCTATCTAGACCATCAAATTCTCTTCTACCATAGATGTAATGCTCTGCACTCCCATCAGTCATTAACAAGGGTTCCTTCATACCATCAGTTTGCACGGTATGTAGGACAACAAACTTCAGGATGTTTACCAATTCTATAGGTGAGGAATTCTCTTTTCCTTAGTGTTTTCTAAAAACAGGGTCTTGGCTGGCTTCAACATGTGGCAACCCTTCCGCCTCAGCTTCTCAAGTGCTCGATTTATATGCAAGCAGCACCATGTCTGACTTTGAGAAATTATTAGTGTAGCTTTTCTATAACTTCGGTTACTTTTTTTAAAAATTTTTGAGTTATACTTAGAAAAAATATAATCAGCACACAAAACTTTTCTTCGAATCTTTGGGGCCATCTCCTTCAATTCTGCACAGAACTACTGATCTGCTGTTGTTACATATCAGATTGCAGTTTCTAGACCTCAAGTGGAATCAGTGTACCTTCTGGACTTGCTATCATTGTCAGTAACACTGGGATTCATCCACACTGCTGTGTACATCAACAGCCTATCCCTTTCTCATAGTGATGAGCACTGTGTGGATACAATACAATCATCTCTTCATGTCAAAGCCACTTTTCTGTGGCTACTTTCTGTAATAGTCATAAAACTTCTAAGTCATTTTCAGTGGTTAGATTTCTATCAACTTTCTACTTCTGGTCCAACCACCCCAATATCAAGCTCTGATCTCCACATAAGAATGCACTATGGATGTAACTAGTTTCCCTTGGTTATGATAAAACCAAGTTTTTATCTCAAAAGCAACTTTGAGAAAGGGTTTATGTTGCAGAATGTTACTTTAAGGTGTGTTACTTTAGTTTATGCTCTGGAACATTTGTTTAATGATGCAAAGATGTGACTAAATAAAATTCACCTGCAATCCGGGGGCTGAGTCAGCAACTAGCTGATAAGTTGTAGCGAGGAGTGAGGCAGGAGCAAGGGTAGGTGGGGCTGGCAGGCAGAGAAGATAAAAGGAGAAATGAGGAGCACAAGGAGCAACAAGAGAACAAGGAGAGGACACCAGGGGTCAGCCACCCAGTCAGCCAGAGTAAGCAAAAGTAAGACATACAGAAATAAGAAGAAAAAGAAGTAAAGAAAGGTATACAGAAATAAAGAAAACCTAAACAAGGCACTGGCTCTATACTTACCACATTTATTTTTTATTTTATTTTTTTTGAAACGAGAATGCCAACTTTATTGTGTTCCAGGACAGTTTATATAGTGCCTTCCCTGACCAATGGCCCTAGCTCTCGGGATCCTTCAGCTGTTTAGTTTAGTATATAGCCCAAGAACTTGATACTTGAAAAACATAACTACTGGGGCTAGATAGGGAAGAAAATTACATTTCCTATTTCAGACAAATAGAAAAACCTAAAACCAAATAAATGATTTTATTTGGAAATAAAGAATGCTCGTTTGTATTTTATTTAAGAATTATGCCAGTTTTATCACTACACAAAAATAAAGGGACAAAGTCTGGTGCAGTTGTCCCTCATATCAAGTACTAGCAAGCTGTTAAGCAATAATCTGTGAAGTGACTCCTTGTTCATGAGAGCAGAATTTTAACAAGACAGGTATGACATGAAAACCTATGTAAGCAATGATATATAATCAAATAAGCTGGTCCTGTAGCTGCCAGGTTTATCAGTAGGAACGGATAGCAGGGGGTACGGTGGCACAGTCAGCTTCATTCAAGGTCTTGTCAATGACAGGTCTGTACTCCAAAGCAACCTTGGAGAAAAGGGTCAGGGTGAATCAAAGCATAAATATTTACATCATTTCTTCTGTGCTTCTGTAAAATTAATCCATCAAAGTATTTATAAGCACAAGAACGTCAAGACAAAGGAGTGGGTAACTCCTCCTACCCCATCGCCCTCTAGTCTATGCTAACCTCCAACTCAAGCTCCTCCCTATCCACCTGCTGTGAGGTGAACAGCTGCCTCTGTCGTGACATTCTGCTTAAGTGAATGAGTGCAAGCAACAATGAACTTTCTGAAACTAGGAGAAAAAAAAAGAAATCTTTAATCCTTTGTTATTCATATCAGGTATGTCATTACAGTGATGTAAATGTACTAATAATTAGTCACCACTTCTTCCCCATCACAGGCCTCAGACATCTTGTCATTGCTCAGGACTGTTTATCTGGTAGGGAAGATGAGAGCTGGCTCTGTACTAAAGGTCCCCCTGAACCACCCAGGCATTGGATTCTGCCTCCAGCAAGAAGCATGACTCTTATTCTATTTGGTGATATCTCAGATCTGTTAACAGCTGGTTTAAAACTAGGCTGTTTCCCAAACTGGTCAACCATCAAAGGCCAAATAGAGTGGCTCAGCTCATCCCTGGGGTGATGCATGCCCACATACCTTCCCAGTCTTGATGTCCACATATGAGAGGGTGTGTTTCCTCCAGTGTTCCCCAAATGGCCTTTTCTGCTGTCCCTGGATGGGCTTGGAGTAATCATACTCATCAACCCGCACCTGAGGTAAAAAACATACCTCATCTGTCACCATAGAGCAATATCAAAAAACATGGAAAATATTAGCAAATGCACAGGAGACCAGCCCAGGAGATGGGCACCTTGGCAAAGAAAGGGGTTTGGAGCCAGGAGTACAAGTATAGAACATCCATTTCTGCATTTTCTCTTATAACTCTATAGATAGAAATTGGAATTAAATATCACCTATGCAACTTTCCCTTTGGCTCCATGCACTGATAGTTCCTCAACTTTTCTCTTTAGCATTTTTAAGTAAAATGGGCTTTTTTTTTTTTTTTTTTTGAGACAGAGATTCTCTACATAGCCCTAGCTGTCCTAAACTTACTGTGTAGGCCAGGCAGGCCTCAAACTCACAGAGATCCACCTGCCTCTGACTCCCAAGTGCTAGGATTAGGCATTAATTTAGCTGTTTTCTTCTCTCTCTCTCTCTCTCTCTCTCTCTCTCTCTCTCTCTCTTTGGTTTTTCGAGGCAGGGTTTCTCTGTAGCTTTGGAGCCTGTCCTGGAGCTAGCTCTTGTAGACCAGGCTGGCCTCAAACTCACAGAGATCCGCCTACCTCTGCCTCCCAAGTGCTGGGATTAAAGGCATGTGTCACCACCGCCTGGCTAATTTAGCTGTTTTCTAAGTTTAGCATTTATACCGAAGAAAGTTTGTCAGTACACTGACTGCTAACAAAGAAAACTTTGCATGTAGGTGTAAGTTAGACGAGCAAGTGGCTCTTCAAAAACCAAGATCAGACACCTTGTTGTTTTTACTGAAAACAAGTAGGAAGCAGTGGCAGGTAGGAGGTTCCTTACCCGGGCCAAAGGGCTAAAGCACAGTCCTAGTTATACACTAACTATAGCATACACCTGCCAAGAATAAGCAGAATCTACGTCAAATCTCCAAAGCCTTATTTATCTCAGCTCCTAACAGTTAACTGGGGATATGCTTGCTCATGTTTCTTTTCATCTACTTGATTACTGCAGGTTAAATTAATACATGCTCATAGCAAATGAAAACTTCTACTTGCTCACTTTCCTATTTCCTCACCATCCTACACTGTCCAGAACTTGTGTGCTCATCATGGGAAATGTTCCTGAACTTGGAGCTACACCCAAGCTTCTCCTTGTGCTTTCTACCCTCACATGTAGAACCCAACATGTGTGCTCTTTTATGCTTTCTGCTTAGAAGCCATGGTTGGAGCAGATCTCTAAATCCTTTTCCCAGTCTCAGGGTGTGTCTGAGCAAGTGACTCAAGGACAGTCTAATTGATTATGGTCACTGGATGCACTTTACCCTTAGCCTTAAGAACCAGGTCTGTTCTGCTTACAGATGCTGAATGGGCTGACACAAAGCAAGAAAAAGGTGCAAGGTTCTGAGAGTGAGAATAAGAATAAAAAAATATTGGAGGAAAAGGTGTTTTCCTTGATTCACTTTTGGGAAAAATAAAATGGAACAGAGAAAGTGAATAGGAATGAATAGAACCAGTTGGGAAAATGTCAGGTCAATGTGATATATCTTGAAAACATACTTTATAATCTTCCCTGGCATGAGCTCCCCGTGATTCCTTCCGTGCCTCTGCACCATATATGGTCTGTAGTGCACATAGCATCAGGTTCTGCAGCTCCAGGGTCTCCACCAGGTCTGTATTCCAGACCATTCCTGAGGACACACAAAAACCCATGAGGGACAGATGGGATCCAGTCATGTAGGTACTCTGAACTTAACTAGCAACATATGTCTGTGGGGAAGAAACAGCTGGATAGCATGGAATAAGGTAATGGTAAACAGGATAGAAACCAGCTTAGCCCCCAAAAGCAGTGTCCCCTCAGAATACTGTTGACTCACCTCTGTCAAATGTCTTTACATGCTTCAGTTCTCCATAGAGCTGGCTAATTTTTTCACAGCCTTCTTGCAATACACTTCCCACACGGAATACTGCAGCATGATTCTGCATCGACTATCATAAGATACCATTATAAACTTTTAATGCACAGAAAAAGACAGGCAAAATGCTCAGATCTTTAGTTTTTTTGAAATTTTATATATTTACACATTTTAAATAAACTAGGAAATTCAGACTATGAGTTAAATTTAAACTTAATATAATTTTCTTTTCTGGAGAAAGGGTCTTCTATGCATGCGATCCTCCTACCATAGTCCCCCAGGTATGCCACTTTACGTTGGTAATAAAAAACAAAAACAACAAACCAAGCCAAAACAAAACCCTATGTCTCCATGTGCTCCATTATGTATGTATCTCACAACAAATCTGTGTATATATAAAAATATTATAACTATTTTACTTCTCTGGCAGCATTTCCAGAACACAACAGTCCCAGAGTCCAAGTGGGCTAATAGTGGTGGGTGTGGTGAAGTTAAAAGGAGGAAACCAGGGCCTGAGAACTTTTGTGGCCAGGCACTTCCCCACTGTCTAAGTGACTAGAGGTTAGCTCCTACACACTTCACTCTCCTCACTTTCTGATTCTGTTATGGGACAATTCAGTCTGAGGATCTCGTTCTCTCAGAGCTGAGGAAGCTAAATGAAGTGACACAACCAGTTGTGGGACTCACTTTCTCATGTTCTTCCCCTTCCTATTGGCTGCAAGACACATGACAAGCAGTACTGGTCTTAGGATGAATGTCAAGCTCATATACAGGAGTGCCAGGGAAAGCCAAGTCCCTGTGCTAAAGCTGATGCTTATTTCTGCCCTGAACTAACAACTCCAATGTTCTATGTGGAAAGAGACACGTTTAAGGCTGATTACTTTTATACTCTGATTTAAAAAATTAGAAACAGGTCCTCCTGCTGTCAATCCCCAAGCACCCATGCAGGGTGGCTTTGGTTGTGTCTACTACCTTCTGCATGCTGAGGCGTAGTTCTGATGTTCTTATGCTTCCATCGGCAAATCTTAACTTGTCAAGATTCATAACCGACTCTTCTCCAGCATTTGCTTTAATTGAAGGAACTTTATCTCCTTAAAAGAAAGCCAGAATTTAACTTCAAAATCACTTGGGTGGGGGGAGATTTGAATACCACTCGGATTACATCATAGCCATTCCAGGAGTCTGGAAAGCATAGAAGTAATATGAATCAACACAGTCTTGGCACCAACCTAAGGTATAAGATATTGACACAGAGTTATTTTGTTTTGTTTTGTTTTCAATACAGTGAATCTCTGTGTAATAGCTCTGGCTGTCTTGGAACTCACTCTGTGACCAGGCTGGTCTCAAGTCACAGAGATCCACCTGCCTTGCTTCCCAAGTGCTGGTATTAAAGGCGTTGACCATTTCCAGAGTCAATTTTTAAGAACATATACAGAAACAAAGATATTGCAACACAGTAGGTAACCATTTTTGAAACTAAGAGACCTATATGTAATCAGAATTGTTACTCTAGTAAGGAAACTGGATATCCTTAGAGATAGTGAAGGGTCACCGTCACACTTTTTCTCATGACAGGATAAACAGATGGCTATCCTGTGTGTCTTGACTCTCCTGTCCTCTTAACTAGCCCTTAAGATCATGACTTTCAGGTAGGGGTACAACTTAGAAGTAGAGTACTGGTTAGCGTTGGTAAGGCCCCAGGATTGATCCCCTGTATTACACTGTCCCCTACAAAAATTAAAGAATCCCCTCCACTTAAAAAAAAAAGTTCTGAGGTATTTAAAAAGTGGTTTTAGGTGGTATAGGTATTTTCTAATGAGAAAAAAGGCAACAGCTGCTTCCAGCCACCTCCTCTCCAAGGATGCAACTAGTTCATTTCCCTTTTTCTTTCCCTTTTATGTCTTGAGATAATCTACACAGTCCAAATCAGCCTTGAACTAACAATCTTCTTACCCCAACCTTTTACATATCCAAATTACAGGTGTGTGCACACCTAGCACCTTTTTAGTGTTAAAAAAAAATCACTCAGTAAAACTGACTTTTCTCATGGTGCACATTTTTACAAATTTCAACATACTATATAAAGGATTCCAAACACTTATACTATAGAAATATTAAGACATTACCACCTGGGGGAAAATATTACAAACCTCTTCATCTTGATGCATCATGACCTGCATCTTTCAGTTTACCAGTGAGGCAAGAATGTGCTAGTTCCTACATCACTACTATTCATCTATAAAATATCCACTCTATATAAACTGTACAATGGACATCCACAATTAACAAGAGGACAGAGTAATAGACGGAACAGGGAGAGTCTCCATCCTTGTCCTCATGAGATGCCCTCTCATACCACTATTCTGACCAAACAGACAAACCAGCTACCATGAAGGCTCCTTGGGGGTTGGAACTCTGGTAACCTCCTGGTTCTAGTCTGTGCAAGCAGAAATATACTCCAACACAGGCACATTTTTCTTTTACATGTTTAAAGCTGCCATAAGAAGACATCAACTGAAATTCATTCTATTCCTGAGGGGTAGGGGCTTATGTCATCCCTTTATTCATGAAATTCCATTATATCTTGTTTTTAAAACAGGATAACGTTTTTCTATAATTACCAAGAAGCTACAGATTTATTTTTACTATAAAAAATATTTCACTGCAAAAATAATTTATAACAGATAAATAATATATAATCAATTTCCCCTCAAAATACCAATTTTTTAGTAGTGTCTTTTAAGGATACAGTGATTGTTTAAAAAGCAACCAAGCCATACATGATGGCATACACAGCACTCAGGAAGCAGAGGCAGTTGGATCTCTCTGAGGTCAAGGTCAGTCCGGCTGATATGTGTGCATACTGGGCCAACCAGAGATATAGTGAAACCATATGGCTTAAAAAAAAAAAAATCATGTCTTTAAAAAAAAAAGGGGGACCTAAATCCCTTACTTTCTTTACTATTAATACTACACAATCTGTTTCTATAGGAAAAAGCAGGTTTCCTCTATGATCACTAAGCAAAATTCCAGCAATAAAGACTATGCAGTATCCTAAAATAGCTTGAGGGCTTGAAGAGAGTACATACCAGGCCTGCAAGATTCTGCAATGCTCAGAGCACAGGCTCGTCCAAAAACTACGAGGTCCAATAGGGAATTTGCTCCAAGCCGGTTGGCACCATGCACTGAAGCACAGGCCGCCTCCCCACAGGCATACAGGCCAGGCACAATCTGATCCTGTCCGTTCACATGCTTCAGCACCTGCAGGAATGTATTTCAGATGAGGCATCAAAAATACCTATGGCTCCACGTGCCTGCTTCCCTATCATAGTTCCCATGCCTAAGGTAGAAAAAGCAAAGATTGCACCTTCTATATTTCACTCTTTTAGTATATCCTCAGTTCTCCTTTTGCTCCTGAACCCTTGATGTTTGTTACAAGCAGGTCAAAGATGATCCACGTTCCTCAGAGTCTCAGGCACCACCTGATTTGACTATGGAATGTGGCAACTGATAGAACATTAAAGGGAAGAGAAAAACTGGGGATCATCTGTGAAGTGGGATAGCAATCTCTACCTTTTGTCCTGACAGGAGTTCAAAGCAGAAGGACCAGTTGATGAGCATTTGTGAACTGCTCATAACCCAAGTACCAATTGTATATACAGATCACTAATTAATAAGGTCACTGGAAAAGTATCAGATTATATAGAAAAGCAATTATAAAATGGAAAAGGTGTACAATATTATAGCTATGGGGAATTAACATTCTATTGGTTATTGCCAAATAGAAGCAAACCCAAGAACATAATCTAGCCTCTTACCGCCTAGCAGAAATGGCATTTCATAATTTACATAAAAAAAAACTGAACACACTGCACTTTTGGAGGGAAAAATGCCTGTTCTTGCTTCTATGCCTCTAAGCACTAAAAGGATCTTTGTGAAGTGGGCTTGTCATCATCACCTGCCCCTTGTAGTTAGTGGGAATCCCACCCATGTTGTAATGCACAGTGGGAAGGACAGGGATGGGCTCCTTAGTGACATCCACACCAGCGAAGATCATGGCCGTCTCTGAAATCCCAGGTAGACGTGTAGCAAGCTGCTCAGGGGGCAGATGGTGCAACTGCAGGTAGACGTGATCTTTCTCGGGGCCACAGCCTCTGCAAAGACAACACTGTAACATGAGACAAAGAACCTAAGAGCCAACTAAAATTTCTAAAGTATGTGAGCCTCAACAATCTTGGATCTTGAGGAAAATTTCAACTTCATTCATGGTCAGTGACTCATTAGTTCTTTTTACTTGAAGTATTTTTTTTCTAATCACCTACAGTGTGTCACAACAATTCTGTGCAGGAACACAAGAATAGAAACCTGTACTCACCAAAGTCATATTCTCATCTTGGGTACCATGATTTCCTATGTTTTTCTTGGCAAATGTGTTAAAAAGTCTCCCGTAACTACCGAACTCCCCCGTTTTAAGTCAAAGTGTCATTAAGTAACAGGGTCCCTGCATTAAGGAACAGGGTCATGGGAGCCTCAACTGATTTCACCAAAGGACAAGCGACACACAAGCCCTGAAGGTTACCTGCCAAGACACCTGTAGATACTGATTAAAACAACGTAACTCCTAAGGCTCATGAGTATTAGCTTGGTGTATGAATCTCATTCTCATACTGTGGGAGCATATGATATGTTTACTCTTACACACACTGATGTGAAAAAGATTCTCAAAATATAGGTCTTTCGGAAAATATCACAAACTAACAGATGTTAGCCAGAAAATAATGGGATAGCTTTATTCTTGTAGGTAGGTGCCGAGGTGCCTGTCTGCAAAGGTAAACTGCTAAAATATACAGATGTGACCTAATGGCTACCAAAGAGAAAAGAGGACACAAATTTGTCCCCCGCCTACTACATTCATGTATCCCTGGAGGATCACAAACCTTCCTTCACGGATCTCGAGAGTCATGGATCGAGACACAACATCTCTGGATGCTAGGTCCTTGGCAACAGGGGCATATCTCTCCATAAACCTTTCACCTTGACTGTTGATGAGAATACCTCCCTCTCCACGGCATCCTTCTGTGATAAGACAGCCAGCGCCATATATACCTGTAAAAATCCAGGTGATTAAATGCTTATAAATGAATGATGACTAGGTAGCTATTTCAAATGGCTAAATCCTTTTTTAGAAAACATTTTTTAAGTCGGGCGGTGGTGGCGCATGCCTTTAATGGGAGGCAGAGACAGGCGGATCTCTGTGAGTTCGAGGCCAGCCTGGTCTACAAGAGTTAGTTCCAGGACAGGCTCTAAAGCTACACAGAGAAACCCTGTCTCAAAAAACTGAAAAATGAAAAAAAAAAAAAATTGGGTGGGGGAAGAAAGAAAAAAAATACAAAGAGCATTAAACTCAAAAATAATAAGAAAAGTAGGAGGTATGTGTGTGACAAGCAGCAGTGAACACTAGAAAGCACAACAGACCCAGGAAAAGGAGCTCACCCACAAGGTCTAACCCATATCTGAATAAACATCATGTATGTAGACTTAATTTTTAAAATAAACCTTTAAACCAAGAAATGTGGTAACAAGGTTAAGCAGGAATAAACCAGCTTGGAGAATTTCTACCTAAATTAACCAAACAGCAAAACTGACAAATTATTTTAGTGATTAATATTTATGTTTGTACCAATTCTAAACATTCACTCATTTAAATTCTACGATGGTCCCAGGTAATAAGAAGCCTATCCTCAGAAACAAGAAAGTTGAAGCTTAGTAACTCACCTAAGTCACAGAGCTATTAAAGGGCAGAGCCCAAATTAAAATCAGAGGAGCATGATATAGTCTGAGTTCTTAATATAACTATGTCCCTCAATGTAAGGAAAAACAAGGAATATCAAAAACTGAATTTTAACAGAAGAGGCTAAATAAGTGTTATTATAAAGCTAAAATTATCTTTCATATGCCAAAAGGATTACATGCTCTAAAGGCAAGAATAGAAGTTCTTACATTTCACCTACTTTCACTTTTCATAGTTCTAGTAACATCTTTTGGGTAGTTTATTTCTTATGTATTGTGAAGAAAGCATAAAAAATGGGAATTTTAAACACAGTATATGACAGGAAATCCAGAGACTCAGTAGACACCGGGCAAAAATTGGGAGGAAGAAGACTAACACATTTATTTTTCATTCTCTATCTCTGTCTATTTCTCTCCTCTGACTCAATGCTTTGACAGGCAGTGAGAGCTAATTTCTTCTACAACTAGCTCTTTCCCGCTTCTAAATACAAACCCTCACTGTGGTGATATTTTGTTTATGCTGTAACAAATAAAGCTTGCCTGAAGGTAAGAGTGAAGAGCTAAGCCCCTAGTTAGTCATAGAGGTCAGGCAGTGGTGGCACACATCTTTAATCCCAGCACTCACAAGAGAGAGGAAGATGGACCTCTGTGAGTTCAAGGCCACACTTGAATCTGTCTGAAAAAGAAACAGCTCACACAAATCCCTGCACTAGGGAGGTGGAGACAAGAATGATGTGGCTGGTTGGAGAGTTGGAATGTAAGGCAGGAGGAGACAGGAGTTAAAGACAGTCTAACATATTCAGTCTGAGAGCTCGGACAGACAGAATCGCCCATTTGGTTTGGTAGAGGTAAGAACTCTAGTGGCTGGCTGCTCCGCTTCTCTGATCCTTCAGCTTTCACTCACTGATAACTCACTCTGAGTTTTGACTAAGACCAATTAGAATTTTTGTTACACCTAACTTAAGAGTCTGATTTGTTCTAACTTCACATCCCTCTAACCATGGGTGCTTGAAACCAAATCTATTATGAAATGCCTTTATGGAACCAGGAGGACTCAAAACAGAAGAAGTGCACATGTTTATAAGACACAGAAGAGTCCAGAGCCAGACAGGTACCCATCCTACCTGTGGGGTGGAACTGAACAAACTCTAAGTCTTGGCAAGGCAAGCCAGCCCTGGTGACCATGGCTGTGCCGTCCCCTGTGCTGGTATGGGCAGATGTGCAGCTGAAGTAGGTCCGTCCATAGCCCCTGAAAACAGAACACAGTGACTATAAGCATCAGTCAACACCAAACCGTTTCTTAGGGCATCAAAGAATATATAATGTAGCTTCTGCGGCACCAACCTCTAAAAACCCCTTGTACTCTGACCTATGCATGTTCATATACGGTACACAATACTGGGAGGTCACATCTGTGACGCTGCTAACATGGATGGATGAAGTTGGGAGACAGAGAATGGGAATTTTATAATTCTTTTTGTATTTGGTACTTTGTGCTTTATTTTATCTTCAAAGGATTTTCCTGATAAGGATATATTACTTTTACAATTTGTTATTTCTTCCCCAGTCTTACTGCTTATTTATAAATGGTATACATGATCTGATAAATGTATAATAGGAACAAATTTCCACAATTTCATTAAGATATCCATAACCTTACATAATTATCCTTTCTTTGTGGTGTTGATAATTACTGTACCAAACATGCTATCTATCAGGTTTCAGAAACTGCTCACCTCATGACTCAAACTGTTCTTGTCTGAATATAGATGTCCCTCATAGGCTCATGTGTTGAAAAGGCTTGGTCCACAGCTAGTTGCATTATTTGGGAGATTGAAAACTTTAGGACATGGAACCTAACTAGAGGAACTAGATCTCTGGGGGTATGTCCTTAGACTATATACAATCCTGGATTAATGTCTTTCACTCTTTGCCAAATCACATACTAGTCACTAAAATATCCTGCTTACACATATGAATCCATGTCCCCATGCACTAAACCTGCTGAAAGCCATAATAAATCCTTTTCTGCATAAACTATATTTGGTCACAGTGACAGTCTGGCTAATACATGCTGTAGGAATTCCTACCACCAGTAGCCTTTAAGTTACCCGCCTGCTTGGGTGTGGCCTCTTATACTATAAAAGGCAATGTAAAGCACACTTTTGGCTTCTCCTTTTCCAGCTGCGGGATTTCTGGTTGTTGTTCCCCATTTCAGCAGAGGATTGTGATCTATGACTCTACCCCTAATAAATAACCCTCTATTATACTCAATTCTGAGCTAGTGTGAGATTTCTTTTAAGCATCCTTCTTCAAATATAATCCCGTACTTGGACACTGTGAATAATACCACAGCAAATATCTGCATTGATGATATATTCATCATGTGATTATGCTGACTTTATTCTCTTTACATAAGCGGCTATGGTGGGACTGCTGCACCATGTGAGTTTTACTCTCAGGGTATCTTTTTTTAATGGTATAAGTTTGATGTGCATATATGTCTATAAGTGTTTGTAGGCCCGATGTTCACACTGGGTATCTTTCTCGATTGCTCTCTATTTTACTGAAGCAAAATCTCTTAACTAAGCCAACAGCTAGTAAGTCTGTGCTCAGGAATCCCGACTCTGCCTCTTAAGTCATGGAATTACAGACAAGGCCACACTTACTCAGCTTTATGTGGTTCTAGGCATCCAAGGTCTGATTCTCATGTGTGGGTGGCAAATACCTTGTCTACCAAGCCATTTCCTCAGTCCTCTTTAATTTCTGGGGAACCTTCACAATGACTACCAATTTATACTCCTAATAGTCTTTAGACTTTTGGGTCATTTTTATCTGTATCTTTTTTTTTAATTAAGATCTATTTTATTTATGTGTATGTTTCTGTGTGAATTATGCAACATGTGTGCCAATGCCCAAAGAAGTTATGAGTCTTCTGAAGTGAGTGCCGGGACCAGATGTCAGGTCCTCTGCAAGAGTAGCAGCACTTAATTCTGTGCCATCTCTCCAGGCCATTGTTTTGGTTAAATATACATATATATAAAATTATATAATAATATCATTATTAGTGAGTATATATGGTAAGTGTGAGCACAGGGATTGCCATGGCACATGTGTGGGAAGTCTGTTCTGTTCTACTATAAGTTCGAGAGATGGAACTCAGGTAGACTATCACACTTGTGTGGTAACTACTTTTATTCAGTATGCTGGTCTGAATAAAAATGGCCCCCACAGATTCATATATTTGAATGCTTGGTCTCTAGTTGGTGGAATAGTTTGAAAAAGATTAGAAGGTATTCGAGTGGGGGTATGCTTTGATATTTAAAAGACTCTGGACTCTCTCTGCCTCATGGTAGTGGATCAAGATTAAACATTTAGCTACTACTATATTCAGCCATCATGGACTCTAGACCTCTGAAACTGGAGGTCAGACTTAACACTTTCTTTTAAAAGTTGGTAATGGTGTTTTATCAAGCAATAGAAAAGTAACTAAGACAGTTGAACAGTTGGGCGGTGGTGGCAATGCATGTCTTTAACCCCAGCACTTGGGAGGAAGAAGTAGGCGAATCTTTGTGAGTTCAAGGCAAGCCTTGTCTACAGAGCAAGTGCCAGGATAGGCTTCAAAGCTACAGAGAAAGCTTGTCTCTATAAACAAAGCAACAACAACAAAAACAAACAAACAAAAGGGCCACTTGGCCCTCTTCATCAACACTTATTATTAGTTGTATCTTTACACTAACCATTAACCATCCTCACAAGTACGGCTGTTACTTGAACTCCTTAGATGTTTAATGGTGCTGAGCACCTTTTATAAACCTGCTGACCATGTGTATCCCCACCTGGGAAAAACACTTATTCAGGTTCTATAAGTTCTATAAGTTATTTAAACTTCTTTTTCTTTCTTTTGAGAGGGTGGTGGTGGTGGTAATAGAGACTGAATCCAGGACCACATGCATTCTAGACAAGCAAATACTACACAACTGAGATAGATATACCCTCAGCTCTTAATTTTTAAAATGGTAAAAAAGAAGTGATATCAAGTGAAATTTACTTATTCTCATCATGTAAACATAGTATTTCTTGATTCTAAGAATCATTATACATAGTAAACAAAAAAGCAGGAAAGTTTATCTGAAAATGTCATGTGACTCTCTAGGCTTACTCTTTATGTAAAAACAGGCAGGGTAAGCTTTATAATCCCCAATTTTGTCCTATAATGCTCAGAGAACATCTATATTGTGATGAAGGTAACAAGGCTGGGGAAGGTTATGAGGTGACACAATGGCCTATCCACCCACGGTTCTCAATTAGTTTTATTTAAGAAAAAAGCAAACAAACCCTCCCCCTAAATGCTAAACTCAATTTTTCTATAAGAAATTAAATACAGTAAACAAACAAACAAGAAATTCAGATCCTACCCAGTAGCAATAACAGTGTTCTTTGCTCTTATTCGGTGTATGGACCCATCTTCTATGCACAGTGCAATTACACCACGGCACTCCCCACTTTCCATCAAAAGATCCAAAGCAAAATACTCCACAAAATAGCTGGTGTCATATCGCAGAGACTGTAAGAAAAAAAGAGTCCACATTTCAAATTGTTAATTAAGATTAGGATTAAACAAACAACACTCAAAACTGAGTGGTTAAACCATTAAAACAGTTTGAAGGACTTGATCTAGCCCTGTTAACAAATGAAGGAAGTTTAAAAAATACTATGGTTTGTAATGAAATTACATGTGCTTATATTAGCATCAATACTGACAGCAGTACAAAGCACAAAAAGTTACCCTAGGTTCAGGAGTATATTCACAACAAAAAATGCAGAGAGTAGAATGTGAAAGGCTCTGGGTTGCTCATATTTTAGTAACACCACTCTTATTTTTACAAAAGTTTAGGAAGCACTCTAGGCTCTCCAGTGGCTCTATGTAATACTGAACACCTCTCAAGAATTTGGAACCCTCAATGAGGTCCATGGATCACAGAGTCATGACCCAGAAAAGCTGCTAGCTACATGTGGCCATGTGATTAATAATATTAATTAAAAAATCCAGCTCAGTACAGATCAACCACATCTATACCTGCAGTGGCCACATGGGGTTTGTAGTAAGCAGACAGGTCAGCCCATTTCCATGCACATAGGGGAGTCAGCCCTGGACAATGCCACCAAGTGTGGATCTGATAGTCCTGATGTTGAATGCAAGGAGTTTTAAAGAGCTTACACAAACTCTCAAAACAACCACAGAACAAGCACAAACTGTACATTTTTTCAGTGTATTCAGCCTAAAGGAAGCTACTGATGTTCTAATATGTTCATGCTAACTATCTGTCACTGCTTTCTGAAAACAGAGTTCAGATTGTTGATTATCTGGACATGCCAAAGCAGACTGACTATCTAATGTACTGGTTCTTAACCTTCCTATTGTTGCAACCCTTAAATACAGTTCGTCATGTTGTGGTGACCCCCAATCATAACATTATATTTGTTGCTACTTTGTAATTGTAATTTAGCTACTGTAATGAATCATAATGTGAATATATATTTTCCAATGGTCGTGGGTCGTGACCCATAGGTTGAGAACCACTGATCTAGTGACTCCTGTACCTCAAGACTTCATCTAGTTTAACTGGTATTAAAACATACCAGTTAAGTTCAGGAACACAGAGCTGATAAAAGCATTCTAAAATATGTCCTCTCTTCTTGGCATGTGATGGATCACAAATGCAAGATGGTAAGCAATGACTACCAATTCAACTTCCAAAACAGACACAGGGAATAAAGCTGTTTTAAATAGCTTTTCACAATACCTATTTAATATTTCATATTAATAATTACTCAGGACACCTTACTATTCGTGTTAGTTCTTATCAATTTGGCACAGGCTAGAATCATTAAAGAGGGAACCTCAACTGAGAAAATGTTCCCATCAGACTGGATTGAAGGCCAGCTGGTAGGGCCCCAGCCCATTGGGGGTGGTGTCATGCCTGTGTAAGTGGTCTAGGGGTGTATAAAAAGTAGACTTAGCAAGCCACAGGGAATAAGTCATTAAGCAGTATTCCTCCAAGGGTTCCACAGAGGTCTCTGCCTCAAGTTCTTGCCCTGACTTCCCTTCATAATGAACTATAATCATAAAGTGAAATAAATCCTTTCCTTCCTAAACTGATTTTGGTTATTCTTTGTCACTATCAACCCTAACCATCTATGCTTCATTCCTTTACAACCAAGTCAGCCTCACCCTTCCATACAAGGTGTGCAAGAGTGAATGGCCTGTTCGATCAGCCACACAGCAGCACCGATGAGCCTGCCCGCCTTTCCCAAACTTGAGGCTCTGTCCACCAAATGCACGCTGATAAATCTTCCCATCTTCAGTTCTACTAAATGGCATACCATAATTTTCTAGCTGTGAAACACAAAACAAGCAAAAATATGTTACTTTAAACAAGTACAAATATTCATGGTTAATTTGCACCAAACCTGAAATCTAAACCTTCCATATTCCATATTCTTTGAAAACACTGACAATTTGGGGGAAAAAAATCTTGTTAAATGAACTTAATACTTACAGGAAAAACTTCCTTACTACCAGGGATGGGACCCTAGAGCTCTATTGTGCTAGGCATGACCTCTCTCCAAGAACCATATCCCCAACCCCTTATTTTCTTTTCTTTTTTTCTTTCTTTTTTTTTTTTCACACTGGTTCTTTTGTAATATAAGCAGAGCACATGCATAATGAACCAAAAGTTTCTTTTCCGTTACCTCGACCACGGAGGCAGGGGCTTGCTCTGTCATGTAATGGATGGCATCCTGATCCCCCAGCCAGTCAGATCCTTTCACGGTGTCGTAGAAATGCCACCTCCAGTTGTCCTCTTCCATGTTTCCAAGAGCAGCATTGATGCCTCCCTGGGAACACCATGCCAATTGTTTACATGCTTTAACTGTGAGTCCCCAACTGCCTCTGCAGCCCATCTTCTCACTGAGTCTGATTTAGAGAAAGTCAGCTCCTTATATTGCAACTCTTTATGAGGGTTAAGGAATAGTAAGGCAGACCCCAACTCATGAAACTCCCTGACTACATGAACTAGATGGGTGGCTTAATATGTATCTGTGATGGGGATGTTGCTTGATCTCCATGCTTATAAAGACTGGAAAGGTCCTTATACCTTATCTATTGCTTATCTAACTGACAGATATAGGGACTCAACAAGTCTGTCTAGAAATCTTATGATAAAACGTTCTATGGTACCTGTATGTGAATTAAAGTATTCCCTATCCCGTAATGTGCTCCTCATTCAGTTAGATAATCATGTACTCTAGTTTCCTCATCTATTATGTGAGTATCACTCTATCTTACCCCTCAGAATCACAAAATATGGCAACACTGGGACAAATCTCTTTCCTTCTTCTTTTATATTTTATTTCTTTTTTTTGGAAAAGAGTCTTACTATGTAACCCTTACTAGCTTGGAACTTTCTTTGTAGACTGGGAGGCTGGCCTTAAACTCAGAGATTCTCTGCCTCTGTTTCTGCCTCTTTTGGTGCTAAGATTAAAGGCATGTGCCACCACACACAGCCTCCAACTGTGTGTTGGAACTTCAATTCATTCCTTTTAGATAATCTTCTTTTCACAAGGAAAGGCACCTTAGTATGACCTGATTGTTTCTCAACAGTTCATATATTGGAGGGAGACACAATCCACAGTGTAATGGTATTAAAAGATGGTGGAACCTTTGAGAATATGTTAGGCTTTGGGGGACATGTACCCTTGAGAAGAATTAAAGAAGTTTTTACTGAATCTTAGTTTCTGTATGTGTTCCTGCAAAAAAAAAAAAAAAAAAAAAAGCAATACATTTTTTAGTTTCCTGTCTGACCCTATGACTTCTTCCTCTCATAAGAGCTCATAATGCAAACTACCATATTATGTTGTAGGTAAGGGAGTCCTCACTGAAGACCAAATGCATAGGGCTACCCAATTTTTGGACTTTAAAATTTCTTTTCTTTATATGGTACCAAATAAATTCACACATCTTATTTCCTTCTCTTCTACCCAATTGCTATTCAGCAAGTTTTGAGCAGCTGACCTAAGCTGAATCCCTTCCTTTCTGACTACTGCTGTGCCTTGGTATTTCTAGTTATGATATCTTTCAGTTTGGATGAGTCACTAGGAAGAACTAAGAACCTTGTAACTGAATCAACGCTACTGATGTGGGAGAATTGTCTGTATTCTGTCAGTTTATAACCTTATGGAGTGCTGTGTGTGATTTCTCTTTGGGATTTGCCGGCTGTGGGGTGCCAGGCGGGACAGATATCCCAACAAGCCGGCCGTCATGTTACATATGGCGCCCAGACGTAGATAACTGAATCCACAGAAAGCCCGAGAAAGCTTGGGAAAGAATAGAGTAAAGCATGTTTTGTTGGTAGCAGCAATTTCTCGGGTCTACTTTGCTTGCTAGAGGCAAGCAAGGCTCTCATCTAAGAGAGGCTTCCTGACTCAGCTTTAGCTGCAAAACCTTGCAGCTCATTAAGAGGTCCTGCCACAAAACACTTAAACGGTGTTGATGAAAAGCTGAACGCATGCTTTTCGGTTTTAAGCTGTAGCAGGAAAAAAGCTGTGCTGTTTTAAAATGTCGGCTTTCTGGGCTGTCCTGCCAAGGCAATCTCTGACTGTTTCAGGCAGGCAGTCCGACTGAGTGTGGTGAGCAGAATGCTGCAGCTTGCTTGCTAGCAAGGACCTTGAAACGCCATAGAGTTGTGGTAGTGAACACAGCTCTGGCTGGTACCTCAGTCATGAGGCTGGAAAGCTAAGGAATGGGCTAATTCCAGCTATAAAAGCCGCAGTTTTAGTCCTCTCCTTAAAGACTCATGTGGTCAGAAAAAGAGAGATATACAGTAAAGAGAGATTCAAAGATGAAGAAAACCTCTAAATGGTTTACAATGTGTTAAAAATATATGCAGGCTAAAAGGTTAAAGTCATTAAAAATAAAAAAGAAAGAAAGGGAGATATAGGGTGTGGCGGTACACACCTTTAATCCCAATGCCTGGGAGGCAGAGGTACGCTGACCTCTGTGACTTCAAGGGACAGAGGTAGAGATTGACCTCTGTGACTTCAAGGTGTAGTAGCACACGCCTTTAATCCCAATACCTGGGAGGCAGAGACAGACAGATCTCTGTGAGTTCAAGGTGTGGTAGCAAACACCTTTAATCCCAGCACTGGGGAGGTAGAGACAGGCAGATCTCTGTGAGTTCAAGGACAGCCTGGTCTACAGAGTTATTCCAGGACAAAGATATACAGAGAACCTGTCTCAAAAAGTAAAAGTAAAACTAAAAGAAATAGAGGTTATAATAAAGATGGAAAATAAACAGAGAATCTTGATACTGTATGCTATTATGCTCTCTTTGAATTGTTTGAATGCTGAGGAAGGAGCAACAGCTGCTAAAGGACTGTTGTTTATAAATGCTGCTGAACTAACCCAAGATAGGTATTTTGAAAATACCTTGGCTTCAAAACTGAAGTCAAAAGGTTTGTTACTTTGGAGAAGAGATTTTGCTTTTGTTTCCACAGAAAACGAGAGGTTGTGGATTCATTCTGAGTTAAGAAAAATCCAGTATGATAAAGGAAGACCACCTGAGAAATCTCCCATAGGAACAGATGGCCCAGAGGACAGAGTTCTTCATCCAGAACAGGTTCAAGACTGCTGCCTGAGATGATCAAGACTCAACAGGATACTCCAGTCAGAAATTGATTATAACTCTAAATTTTCTTTAGGTCCCCATAAGATTATCAGTGCCGCTAACCAGCAGGAAGTAGCCTGAAATACTATGCCCACATTCCCAACAAATGGACTAAGGGTACTTTCCTTTGTTTTAAAAAAAAAAAGAGGGAAATGATGTGGGAGAATTGTCTGTATTCTGTCAATCATATTTTAATAAAACGCTGATCGGCCAGGCAGGCAGTATAGGCGGGAAAGCCAGATAGGAAGTAGAGGTGGAGCAAAGAGACTGGGAGTATTCTGGGAAGCAGGAAGCTCCCTCCGCATTCCTGTACAGATCACCGAAGAGGCAACATGTGAGCTGACATGCTGAGAAAGGTACTGAGCCATGTGGTTAACATAGATAACGATAATGGATTAATATAAGTTACAAGGACTAATAAGAAGCCTGACCTAATGGGCCAATCAGCTTTATAACTTATAGAGTTCTCTGTGTGATTGATTTTCTCTGGACTTGCTGGCTGTGGGGTACTGGGCGGGAACAGAACCCCAACAAGCCAGCCCTCATGTTACACACTACAGTTACTTTCTTTTCTTTTTTATCTAACACCTCCAATTGTAAAGCCAAGATGATCCAGATAATAAACTTTAAGTCACACACTTGTAGCAAGATATAACAGTTACTCTGAAAAAAAAAAAATGTGTAACTGATAGTAGTCATCACTTTAATGCTACCTGAAAACCAGGGCTACAAATGATGGTCCTCTGAGAGCTCTCAAATCTTTTGAAACCTCTAGAACTACATACAGTCTTACTCTACTCCAAGCTAATTCTCCTTAATAACCAGTAGTCAAATTTCTCTTTTCTCCACTACAACTTCTGTTCAGGTCTCCTAGCCCCTGGAAGCCATCCAACTTTGCTGTTGGCTTAGAAAAAAACAAAACAAAACAAAACCCAAAACACTCCAAATACCAGGAAAGATAGTCAAACATGAATAAGCTAACCATATAAAGATTAGTGTTACTTAGTGATCCTAGGATAAAAATTATTGTAATTTTTCTCAATTTGAGAGCATCAAAGGTCAATATTTTCCCATTCTTCACATCCATGCTATCAAAGCTCACTGTAATACACATTTAGCAAAGTATTATAGTGTGGATTTTGAAAGTCCCCCTAAAGGCATATGTGCTAAAGGAGCTATGGTGCTATTAATAGATGGGAGAACTTTGAGGAGGCAGGGCCTAAGGAAAAGAATTTAAGTCACTGGACATGTCCTTGAAGGTGACAGCACCCTTCTTCTCCCCCCCACCCCCTTTTTTTACTTCCAGGCTGCCTTGAGATGAGGCAAGCAGTATTTTCTGCAACATGCCTAATATGCTGCCATAGGCCCAAAAAGCACATCCAAATGATCATAGCCAAAAACCTCTGAAACCATAAACCAAAATAAGTCTCTCTTTGTTTTAAGTTTATTATCTCAGGTATTTGTCTTGGTGATTTAAAAAAGCTGACTAAACTTAAGATCTGGCCTATGCAAACATATTTTATACCAGGAAGAACTGTGGAGGAAATGAAACAATGATGGGGAAACCGATAGGAGGCAGGAGAGCTGGAAAAGACCCACATGTGAGAATAAAAATAAGGTGTCAAGCCCAGAATGGTCCTGAGGAAGAGACTGTAAGCACTGACTTGCAAAGTGAGAATGACTGATTAGATGATAACTGTGGCTGGAGCTTAATGAGAAGGCTCCAGAATTAGTCTTATGGAAGGAGCAGTGCTACACAAGACCTGTAGGCATTGAAAGAGGGCTTTTTTCTTACCTGTGCTGCAACAGTATGTGACCGGGTAGGAAAGAGCTTTGTAAGACACGCAGTATTAAACCCTGCCTCAGAAAGGCCAAATGCAGCTCGCAAGCCTGCCCCTCCAGCGCCTACCACCACGGCATCAAATTCATGATCCACAACTGGGTACTGAGTAGAAATCTGAAAAGGAAATTCAGCTATTCATTACATATTCAACTTTATAAAACATTAAGGCTATAATTACAAAATAATCAAAGAAAAGAACAGCTGCTGTATACAGACAGCCTCAATCTTGTTCTAGCATGAGTATGTATTCCTGGTGCTGAAGTGTGTGGTAGGAACAAAGGAACAACAATCAGATTTTTATGGACAAAAGGTTTGTTCCCTTGCCCCCTTCGATTAATTACATTTTTTCATTTATTTATTTATGATTTGTAGGCATTGTACTGGGTGGTTTTGTCTGTCAACTTGACACAAGCTAGAGTGATCAGAGGAAGGAGCCTCAGCTGAGGAAATGCCTCCTTGAGATCCAGCTGTAAGGCTTTTTCTCAATTAGTGATCAATGGGGGAAGGTCCAGTCCATGGTGGGTGGTGCCATCTCGGGCTGCTGGTCCTGGGTTCTATAAAAAGGCAGACTGAGGATACCAGTGGAAGCAAGTCAGTACACAGGTTCTCTCCAAGGGCTCTGCATTAGCTCCTGCTTCCGGGATCCTGCCCTGTTTTGAGTTCTTGTCCTGACTTCCTACAGTGATGAAGAGCAATGCTGAAGTATAAGACTAATAAACCCTTTCCTCCCCAACTTGCTCTCTGGTTATGGCATTTCACTGCAGCAATATATACACCAAGACAGACATTTTGCTCAAGCTGGCTCAAAATTTATCATCTTCCTGTCTCTGCTTCCCAACACCTAGCTTTAAAAAAAAACAAAAACAAAAACAAACAAACAAAAAACAAAGTGTTTTTGAGATCACTTAAAATTACTAAGATTCCAGTCTTTCTATTCTGCTATCAAAACAAGGAAGTATAAGAGCAAAAGAAAGTATCAATACAATGAGCTCTACTTATATCTTTTTTCCAATGTTTTTACTTCTGTTCATGACCATATGTATTTATTTATAGGATATTAACCACACAGAGACAATGTTTCTCCACCTGTGTGTACAAGTCCCTCTTGAAAACAATGTTGCTTTTGTTTAAATTAGCACATTTCAGTTTTCCTGGGTGCAGACCACAACTACAGTTCAGGCCTACATTTAGGGGCAGGGTCTGTGTGGGTAGATTTATCACAGAGAAATTGTCAAGCAGTATTCTCTAACTCCTGCTAGCTCATATGATAAGAACTTGTAAGCAATGTTCAGATTAAAAAAAAACAAAAACAAACAAACAAACAAACAAATAAACCAGAAACAGAACAGGCTAAATACAAAGAAATTTCAACTTCAGTAGCTAGCAGTCTTATTTGTTCAGGGATTACACTGTTCATCACAGCATATACAGTGTATTTTTTTATACTGTTAAGTTTACTTGCATTGAGAGTTTAGATAAAGATTTGCCAGCAAAAATGTACCTATGTAAATATTTTTGTAAGTATTGTATTACACATATTTGAGCACACAATTAATAACAAAGAAATCCTTTTATTTTTAAGTCTTATTTTACATACCAATCCCAGTTCCCTCTCCCTCCTGTCCTCCCCATCTTCTCCCCAATCTACTCCTCAGAGAGGGTGAGGCCTCCCACGGGAGTCAACAAAATCTGTTACATTACTTGAGACAGGACCAAGGCCCTCCCTCCTGTATCTAGGCTGAGCAAGGTATCCCCTCCATAGGGAATGGGCTCTGAAGAGCCAGTTCAAGCACTAGGGATAAATACTGGTTCTACTGCTAGTGGTCTCACAAATTGACCAAGCCACACAACTGTCACCCACATTCAGAGGGCTTAATTCAGTCTTACGCAGGTTCCCAAGTTATCTATCAGTCCCACTAGCTCGGGTCAACTGTTTCTGGGGATTTCCCCATCATGATCTTGGCCCATTTGGTCATAATATCTCCCTCTCCAGGAGTTTGGTCCAGAGCTGTGGATCTCTGCATCTGCTTCCATCAGTTGCTGGATGTAGGTTCTACGATGACAATTAAGGTAGTCATCAATCTGATTACAGGGGAAGGGCATTTTAGGTACCCTCTCCACTATTGCTTAGGATCTTAGCTGGGGTCATCCTTGGGGATTCGTGGGAATTTCCCTAGTGTCTGGTTTCTCGCTAACCCCATAATGGTATCTCTTTTCTTGCTCTCCCTCTCTGTCCTTCACCCAAATCGATCTTCCCAATCCCTCAAGTTCTCCTCCTCACTCCCCTTCACCCCTTTTCCTCTTCCCACTCCCCTACCACCTTTCCCTGTCCCCCAACGCTGCCATGCTACTTAAGAGATCTTGTCTACTGTCCCTTCCCAGGACTGGGGGTGAGGGGTGGGGTCCAAGTATGTAGGGTTCTCCTTGTTTCCTGTCTTCTCTAGAGTTGTGGACTATAGGCTGGTTATCCTTTGCTTTATGTCTAACATTTACTTATGAGTGAGTACATACCATGTTCATCTTTCTGTGTCTGGGTTACCTCACTCAGGATGTTTTTTTTTTTTTCTAGTTCCATCCATTTGCTTGCAAATTTCAAGATGTCATTTTTTTTTTAACCACTGAGTAGTACTCCATTGTGTAAATGTACCACATTTTCGTTATCCATTCTTTGGTTGAGGGGCATCTAGGTTGTTTCCAGGTTCTGGTTATTCCGAATAATGCTGCTATAAACATAGCTGAGCAAAAGTCCTTGTGGTATGGGTCTGCATCCTTTGGGTATATGCCTAAGAGTGGTATTGCTGGATTCTGAGGTAGGTTGACTCCCAATACTGATATCAAAAGTGGCTGTACAAGTTTGCACTCCTACCAGCAATGGAGGAGTGTTCCCCTTACTCCACATCCTCTCCAGCATACGCTATCATTGGTGCTTTTGATCTTAGCCATTCTGACTGGTGTAAGATGGTATCCCAGAGTCGTTTTGATTAGTATTTCCCTGATGGCTAGGGATGTTAACAAAGAATTCTCAACAGAGGAATCTCAAATGGCTGAAAGGCACTTAAAGAAAATCTTTTCTTTAAGTATGTGCAATATTCAAATACATTAAAATGATTACAGATTACTATCCTTCGAAGCAGGAAAAGTTGTTTACATGCTGGGCATATTGACACACACCTTTAATCCCAGCAGAGTCAGGTGGATCTCTCTGAGTTCACAGCCAGTTTAGTCTACATAGTGAGATCCTGTCTTGGAAAAAAGTTGTTTACAGTTAAGTATTGAACTTACCGCATCTGAAACTTTGGCAGATGCCTTCTTGCTCTCACCAACAGTGAAGTGAAAGCCACTGGTCTGTGTTTGGAATGCTGCAGGCCGCTGCAGAGATATGAATAGTGTTAGATCTTAATGGAATATCAACAGAGAGGAATCAATTAAAAAATTCTCTTTCTAAATTGCTAAGCTTCCTATGTACCATTTGCTTTTATTCCTCTAAAAGTTTACCTGGGACCCTGAAATATAGATAGACCTAAGGGGGGCAAGAACCCAGGTCTCGTCCCCTCTACTCTGACTTAGCATTCTAGGAAGAGCCTTTTCCAAAAAAAAAAAAGCCTGTTTCTCAATAGAAAACTACTACTGACACTTGTTTTGCCACTATACTAATCTATGCAACTCAGTGAAGAATGGCAAAGAAATCCGTGTTGCTATAGTTTGCAAATAATGAAGCATTTTTACTGGCTCCATCTTAACCCTTTGCATACTGGCTCTCTGAATGTCCTTCAAGAATTTTCATTCTAAAAAAAAATGAATCAGATTATGGTGATATGTGCTTTAACAAATAGACAGGGTGGGACAATCCTTCAAAAATCCTGCTTCACCAGATGGTATACTTAAACTCTAGAACAGGTTACTGCTTATTGAAACAAGATAGGCATTAAGCTTAAGAATGACTCAACTATCTCTTACCCAACATACCAAGACTATAGCCATACCCCCTCTCATGGGTCAGGCCAAAGGCAAAACAAATTTGATGAGTTGATAACTTGAAAGCATTTGATAATACAGAATAGCTTATAGCTATAATTATTAATAGACAGGACTAAACAATTCTTTCTTCAGCATTTCTCTGTTGGTGATCACAAATTTCTTTTTTGCTAACTTTATTCTGTTCTTTTGTAAACTCAAATTCTTCATGAAAAAACAAACTTCAAATGCCAATGAATATTTAGTTGGAGGGCAGAATTTCTATAGTAATAGCCATCTTCATGAAGAGACTAATTTAAAACCAATAACCATATTTTGAGAGGTCAATTGTCTTTTCTATCTTATTATCCTGTTTACTAGTACTTAACCACAGAGCATTATGAAGAGCCACAACAAAGATGGTAAAATGCTGACAGTTAGCATGATTCAAATAAAGTTTGGGGGAAAAAAAGGCTTCCAACCAAGCCCCCATAAAAGAAAAGAGTTATGCAGCCTGATCTCACATGCTTAGAGTCTTATTCTCACTTTCAACTGTAATTCTACTCTAGTCTGAATAAAAAATCATACTGATGTAGAAGAAACTTGCAGTGGTAGAATCAACGTTATAAATGATTTATTAATAGACTTGCTTAGGACACAGTAAGGCACAAACAGTATTTAGCTAAGGAAAATACTTCAAAACACTCCAAAGATGAGTATACTAGCCAGTCCTGTTACAGATAAGTAAAATTAAGGATTCTGGAATGTAAATATTTTTTCACCAGAATTGACCAGCCACTAGGCTCCATTCCCATAACAAAAGGGACAACCTAACTTACAACCATTAGGCCCATTTCTCTATCAGAATTGCCTCAAAGCCCAGGGTGACAACCATTTTTAAGTATGGTATGCCATAAAGTCAGATTTCGTAAGAAAAGCCTAATTCTACCAGCTAGACAAGATAACAAGTTGGTAACAACTATTTGGAAAAGAACAATGAAGGTGTACTTAAAAATAATTCATGCAATTTGGAATATCTTTGTTGTGTAAATCTCCCATCAGCATAAGTAGCCAGACTTATGCAGTCTCCAGTCTCTGTCTAAATTGGTCAAAGTGTAAACTGGCCCTGGGAACTGAAAGGGATTTAAGGATGACAACACATGTGGAATGCATAAACATAAGGTATAAACAAGTTAGTGAAATCTTCTATTCTTGACTGTCTCCTTTCTGGGCATTAGCCAGAGCTGAACTCTGACTATTATTAAAAAGCGTTCTCCTTATTTTTTCCTGAGTGTGTGAACGGAATCTTGGGGATGGGGTGGATTCACTTACTTCTGCTACAATACAGTCCTGCTAAAACTACAGGTTGTTAATCTGTTATTTTCTGTAAAAGGTTTCAGTGATCAGTACTTAAAACCCTCCTTTTAGTGTTTTGAGGACCCAAGGGATAGAGGAGGAGGTCGAAGTCTATGGTAGTAAAATACAAATTACTGAAATTATCAAGTTTGAAAATGCCCTTCTGGTCTTGCAAGAATAGCTGCCAAGTAACCCTTGAACATTTAATTGAACTTAATTTTTAATATCTATTTCAGAACGGAGACAATTGCAGCCATAATTATAGGCACAATGCAAGTCGATACTGTTCAATGTCTTGAGGCTTTTATTTCGTAATTAAATTATTAAGTAGGTAGAGGTGGATCACTTAATTTAGTTTGCTATAATAACGCCCTAGAAATCTAACGCGTAATATGTCATCGTCAAAGAGCACACTGGGACACAATCTGACAATCTTACAATCTGGCAAAGGCAACTCGGACCTTAGCAGCCCAGGAGCACTCTGTGCCCCTCTTCCTCTCCAACGCAAAATAGTGGTCGCAAGATCGGATGAACACGGTGCTTAAGTCTCACCTGAGATTTAAAAACAGTAGCTGAGGTCACTACACAAAGTCTATAAGCTCATCACTTACAATATTTTAGTGGCAACATCGAGGCTACCAACTACTCGCAGATTTGCCCGCTACCAGAAGGACACAGGTTGGTCCCGCCCGTTGACCTTGGAGAATTTAGCTGGGCCAAGACGGGGGAAGTCCTGACTCCACTCCCGCGACCGTGGAGTCGTGACCTTCGCCGGAAAGCTGTCGGCTCTGGTCCACTGCACCTTCCCAGCCCCAACTCAACTAGGGTGGGTTCGCGGGATTAGGAGTACACTCGGCTCTGGAGCACTCCTGGTGCCCGCTATCCCGTGGCACTGACTCACCGCCCCAGTTAGCGCCAAGCGCCGCCCGCGAAGAAGCCGCGAAACTGCTCCTATGCCCGCCATGTCTCTGCTGTCCCGCAAGCCTCAGCGGCGGACTGCGCTGGCGTACTACGCTACGCCGACGTCGGACTTGGAAAACTGCGCCTGCGCACCACGACGGGCTCCGGTGAAAGGTGGTACGCCTGCGCGCTGCAGACGCCGCGGTGACTGTACTTTTGAGGTAGCGTGTTAGCCTCGCTGATGGACTCTGCTCCAGGAGTAAGTGGGTACCAATATCTTTGAAGTGCTTCTCGGGTAGTTCTTCGAGTTTACCAAAACAGAGAGAGTCGGAGGATCCGGACAGTTTAAACTGCGGTCCGAGGGGCAGCGACCTCAGCCCCATAAGAGCACATTTTGTTGGGTTTTGGGTCTCAAGAAGTCGGCGGAACCTACCGCCCTGGATTTCTGGAGTGGGTAGGAATGATGCCTTGGTGGATGAACCATGGGGGCAGCTGCACTGGGTAGCGCAGAAAGCCAGGATACTGAACCAGAATCAGTATCAAAAGCTTTCGTCTTGATTTTAGCTCTTGGAAAACTCAGGATCCGGCCTATTGTCAGATTAGATCACGAAAGCTGCTTCCATCATCTGGCATCCTAATTCTTGCAAACTCGCTCTGATTTGATCAGATTCAGATACCATTTCTATTTTTCTAGTGAAATAGCTGAAATTTTCGGTGTAATTAAATGAAATAAAAAGTAAACCAATAATCACAGTTGTTTCCTGAATTTTCACTTAATATTAGATTAAGTTCTTCCTTTTGGTGCACAATCTTTATAAGCAGAATTTTGAATTATTGTTTCCAACGAATCATTCCCACTTCGTTTCTTATATTTGTTTTTGTTATAAATAAGGAAATATGGAATATGTTTGTGCACAACGCTTTATATTTTGAATTATTTCCTTGGGACTTTTAACCCAGAAATGGATGTTATTGGTGTGGAGGGGATAAATAAGACAGTGGGCCCTCTGTATTGGTGCGTTCAATCAACAGCATATCAAACACATTTAGGAAAAATTATGTCTGTTCTGAGTATGTACAGACTTTTTTTTAAAACAAGGAGGGAAATAAAGCATATCAGCTACTTAAGTGCCTTTATACCTTATTAAATATTGATGATTTAGAGATAATGCAAAGTATTGAACAGATTATATTCAACCACCATTTTGTATGGGAGTCTTAACTAGGCTTAACTAGGTTCCCCGACAGATATCTGAGGTATGGCTACGTTAGTAGGAAGTTTTTAAAATCTATTTGCTTTAAGTTAGTATGTATCGTTCTAAATTAGGCATCTACCAAAATTTTTAATTCTGTGGTTTCTATACACCATTAAATTCTGAGTCATATTTTATGGTCATATATTTCTCATCATACTTCATCTTTACATGTTAAGCAAGGTTTGTTAAAATGTTAAATTTTTCAAAAATTCTATTAGATTCCTTATTTTTTTTACATGTGTACTTGTTAACTATTTTGTGATTATTGTATTTGTGAGGGTACATATAAGCAAGGTGAATGTTCTTAGGACTTTATGAAAACAACCATCTAGTATGAGTACTTTGTGACTTTATTTTTATTTATTTGAGACAGGGTCTCTTTGCCTCTTGAATGCTGGGCTAGAATGGGTATTTTGTAAACTAGTAGATTCATATTAACCTTGGTCTCCAGGCAAGTTTGGGAGTTATACTCTGAGGTGAAGCAAGGGGTTTCTGTAATCCTGATCATGACAGCATGTAAGTAGCTTTCCTTTGATTTTTATCTGTAGAAAGCTACTCATTCTTCGAAACCCAGCTCATATGAAGCAAATGCCTATTGTAAATTCACTTTTATTGAATTGTCTATGTACAGCTGTTTTGGAGTTTTACAGAGACAACCAATAAGAGACATGTACAATTATGCTTTACTTAATGGTGGATGTTGGGGGAGGCTGCTTGTTCATTTCCCAGCCACCCAGACTCATGAAATAATCACACAGAAATCTCTGTTAGTTGCAATATTGTTTGGCCACCAGCTTAAGCATATTTCTGACTAAGTCTTATATCTTAAATTAACCCATTTCTTTTAATCTGTGTTTTGCCACATTGCTGTGGATTACTGGCAAGGTTCCGGTGCACCTGTCTCCTGTGGGCAGCTACTTCTCTCTGACTCATCCTTCTCTGTCTGTCTGTCTGTCTGTGTATCTATCTATCTATCTTTCAGCCTGGCTTTACTCTGTTAAGCCATTGGCTGAAAACAGCTTCTTTATTAACCAATGAGTAAAACATATTCACAGCATACATCACCTCCCCTTTTCTGTCTAAATAAAAAGGAAGATTTTAACTTTGATATAGCAAGATTACATATAACAAAACAGTTATCAAGCAAGAATTACAGTTACAATATTTATATCTACTTTATCTTTTATCATAACTAAAGAAAACTATAATTATAACTATCTATTTTTCAACTCCATCAAAGACCCCAGAAGGATATAATATTACCTAAGTTAACAGAAAGTGCATTGTAAACAACTTCCAGAACTCTAGAATTGACAGAGACATCTTGCTGCCCAGACAGTCGCCCAAAGTTCTGTATCGTTGGGGGCATCCATCTTCAGCTTAAAGGCCTATAATATCCAGCAGGCTTTTCCATGAAGCAGGAAATTTCAAAGACAGTTCCACCTATATTGGCAGTTTCTCACTCACTGTCTTCTGTGTCTTGCAGAGTGTCTGGCAGACTCTTTCATGAAGCAAGAACCCTGAAAGACTGTCTCACCTTCTTTAGGCAGCTTCAGCAGCCATTTTTCTGTGGGTCCCACAAGTCCAGTCAAGCAAGAGCAGTTTCATGCTCTCGCTGTCATGAAAAGTCCTAAGTTTTTTAAAACATTTTAGATGCTATATTCTGTAGTCTTTGAAAGTGTTGAAGATTATCTAATTGAAATATTTCTCTATATATCTAGAAAACCTAATATGTATATTTCTGCTCTTGATTAAGGTATTGTGTTTGTGCAGCTCGTTTAAAAATGTAATGTATAATTAAGAAATATAGGTTAATAGATAGTCATCTATGGTAGTCAAGCTCGTAGTCCTGTTTATTAGTTTTTCTAGATATATAGAGATATATTTCAATTAGATAGATAATCTATCTATCTAGAATACTATCACATGTGTGGTTCATTGTCAACCATAATTTTTAGGGCTTATGATGGTATGTGTAGAGTAAGAGAAAAATTTGATTTATTATAAGTAATTAATATTAGCACTCAGATGCTTACCAGTCATACAGAAACACTTTCCAGGCACACCTAGAATGATGTTTAACCTATTAGCTAGGCATGCTGAGATGCCTTCTCTCATATATATAGACACATAATATTAATCATTACAATGACCATACATCTAAAAATGAAGGGAGAACTCACCACATTTTGCTTGTACTTTACTTGAAACATACTTCTCACACTACAGTATGACTACTTCTTGGAATCACATAGGATGCAGTGTTGTGCAGCACACAGAGCTGACAAGTATTTATGTATATGATATAATCCTAACAGCTATACTCTGTTCCTTTTATATAATTAGCATATTTTTCATTTTCTTCAAGGTATAGCTCCATGAATAACTTAAACGACCCCCCAAATTGGAACATCCGGCCCAATGCCAGGGCTGATGGGGGTGATGGAAGCAAGTGGAATTATGCCCTCTTGGTCCCAATGCTGGGATTGGCAGCTTTTCGTAAGTTATAATTTTCTTGACATCTCTGTTTCCTGATCCAAAACATATGCCAGGAGTAGGTTGCTGCAGGTACTGGACACACTAAAGATTGTCTTTAGTACTTGACCAATACAGTGCAGTTTTACCCTTATACCAACCAACTCTGTGACAGGATTAGCTTAGGCTTGTTTCCAACTAGCTGTTATAACTTAAATTAACTTGTTTCTCTTAATCTACATTTTACCATGTGGCTCTTTACTTCTCCTTCATTCTGTACATCTGACGCCTTCCACATCTCGCTGGTGAAATCCCTGTGCCCAGATTCATACCCTGAGTTCTTTTCTCTGCCCAGAAGTCCTGTCTAACCTCTCCTATCTAGCTATTGTCCATTCAGCTTTTTATTAAACCAATGACAAAACCACATCTTCACACAGGTAAACAAATATCCCACAACAGGTTAGCTTTTTTGATCCTCAGTTTACCTGTTCCTTGAAGGTAGCTTATCATGCTTTAATACATTGTGAGCATTAAGTAAGCCAAAAGCATTTGGTGTGTGCTAAGTTTTAGTAAGTTTTAGCTTTCTCTCATTGTTTCACTATTCTAAAGGGACTTCTTTGTCTTAGTTGCCCGCCTCAGTACTGACAGAAAAATTGACCTGAAAGAAAACCAGTTAGGATGTTTGTTTAGTATTTTAAAAGTCAGATATTTGGGTGAGTTTGCCCATGAAAACTACTTTGCAGGCTAGAAATCCTCATATTTAAATTGACTGAATACCACTGAGACTCTTACCAGTCATAGACTATAGTATAGTCTATAGTATAGACTATATGTGTGTTTACAGATGTAGAGAAAGAAAATTTGAGAAAACCCTGCCTCCTAACTGCTCCCACCTATGATAACTGATGTAGAAGAGCTGGTTTATATTTCTTCATGTCTTGTGGTTCTGGTTGTCATCTAAAAATATGAAAAGCTGATGAGTCAAGAAATGGAAAGCAAATGCTGTGCCATATGTATAGTGATCATTTTTATACAGTAGCTTTTTGTGTGTCTGAATTTCTCAGTTCAGAAGTTTGCCATAGGGAAAGAGGAAGGTTCTGAGCATTGCCTGATGCCAGTCCAGATACATCCCAGAGAGTGCTATTTAAAGGCTCCTTCCTGTCACCCTTTCTCAGTGAACTGTTCAACATAAAAGGCATTTATTGCTGTGGTTCTGTGAGTGGCTTGGAAGCCTTAAAATCACATTTATTATGAGTAGATTCTCATCCATTAGTGGTGTTAGTTACTTTGAGTGAGTTAGCTTTGAGAATGGGAGAAGCCCTTTCATTTTCCATGTATTTTTCAGACTTATTTGTAGTTTTAATACGAACTCATAACTCCCAATTTCTTGCTTTCCCTTTTTGGATGTTCAAGTTGATACTTTTTCTCCTGAGGACTGAAAAAATGATTTATGTTTCTGTTTTGATTATCCTGGCTAAATAATGTATTCAGGGATAACTGCTATTTTATTGTTGTTGTTGTTGTTGTTACTTTACATCAGGGTCTCACTATGCTGGCCTTAAATTCACAATCCTCATACCTCAGCTTAGGTGTGTGCCAGGACAGCCTAGACTAAAGGTAATTTAAGAACTTTGCATTCTTATAAGGATTTTCTAAAAGTAAGTTACTATATGTTTGAGAAGATGTATTACAACTTGCATATGTTAACCAGCCTTCATCATGGTCAGGATGTAACATGGTCAGGAAGTAACAGCAGATGAATTGAATGCTTCATGGATGGATGAGAATCTACTTTTATTCTGATGATTTAAATTTCATGACCAACTCTCCCTTTCATTTTTCCTTCTTTCTTTCGTGGTTCTGATGATCAAACCCTGGGCTTTGTGTATGCTAGACAAGAACTCTACCATTGAGCTACATCTACAGCCCCGAATTTCATAATTTTCAATACAATTCAGAACTGGTAAAGTTGTGCTAACCTTGAAGAGTTCTGTCACTCTTTGGCAGTCTTAGATCTCCTTGTCTCTGTTTTGCCTTCTGTCTCATTCCCTTTTCTCTGTTCATTCTCCCCTTCTTCCTTAACCCCTCTCCCTCCCTAACTTTTTCTTGAGTAGAAAAGAAACTGTCTTAGATCTAAAACATGAAGTGTCTGGTATACTGAGCTTAATCACATAGTACAATTCAGTGTAGTCAAAAGAGACAATTTTGAGACCATTGTAGACCACATACAGATCAGTAGCCTTTACTCAGTTTCTCCTACTGGTTACCTCATACAGACTCATGTGAGACTCAGGATCGTATGGTTGGCACAGGATCGTATGGTTGGCACAGGCAAGATAACCTCACATTATGAAGGAACACCTGTTACTTCATAGCCACAGTTTCTTCTGAAATCTGGGAACCAGTTGATCCATAATGTTATATAACTGGAGGAATGAAGTTATGTGACTGTCTTGAAGTCTTTGTCAGATAACACCAAAATATCTGATCTTCCTGGGCTTTGGTATAACAATTTATTTTGCTTTGAAACCTGCAAATTTTGGATGTCCTTGAGCTTGGAATCCTCCTCTTTCTTAGCCTCCCAAATACTGGGATTACAAGTATTTGCTACAAGTCCAACCTAAGTTGAACATCTTCACCTTATTTTTGTAAAACATAATAGCAAACTCACTAGACTTAAACTGTATACAGATGATAATTGGGTAAACCCAAGTATGACTTCCAACAATATTTGAAGCCTACCTATATTAATTTTTTTAAACATTGGCAATAAGTCATGGAGCACCAAGGCAGAGCACATAAATGATAGATTTGAAAACAAAGTAGTGATAATTTTTTCCAGCCATGGAAGTTAGACACCAGAACACGGTCATTGAATGTACTACTTTAGGTGTCCAGCACTGATCTGAGTTTAGGATAAGATCTTTGCCTATTTTATTATCTATGAAATTTCAGTGTCTTGGTACTTTGAATTCTTAGTCTTTTACTGAAATGCTGTCATCGCTGTGTTCTATATTTTCTTTAGTAGTCATAGGATTTTAGTTGTGTCTCTTCATGTGTCTTCCTCATCTCTTCCTCATGTCAGGTTGGATTTGGTCTAGGGAATCCCAGAAAGAAATAGAAAAAGCAAGAGAAGCATATCATCAGAGAACAGCTGCTTTCCAACAGAATCTTGAAGCTAAATATCATGCTGTGATCTCAGAACATCGGCGTGCAGTTGCTCAGTTGTCTTTGGAACTGGAAAAGGAGCAAAATAGAACAACTAGTTTTCGAGAAGCTCTTATCTCTCAGGGGCGTAAGTTGGCAGAAGAAAGGAAGCTTCTTGAGCAGGAACGAGCTCAGATAATGCAAGAGAAAAGCCAGCTGCAGCCTCTGAGAAGTGTCTATCTGAACTGCCTGGAAGAAGGGGATGACTGGCAGAGGAGAGCCCAGCTTATGCTGAAGGAGGTGGGAGAAGCTCTCGTAGAACGTCAGAATATCTACTGCAGCCTGGTCCTTCCCCGTAGTACAAGGCTAGAGCTGGAGAAGAGCTTACTGGTGCGCTCGTCCGTTGATCCGGTGGCTGCTGACCTAGAGATGGCTGCTGGCTTATCTGACATATTTAAGCATGATAAGCATTGTGGAGATGTCTGGAACACCAACAAACGCCAAAACGGGAAGCTCATGTGGATGTATCTCAAATATTGGGAACTACTTGTTGAACTTAAAAAGTTTAAGAAAGTAGAGAAAGTCATACTAGAAAAATGATAATGAAATGAAACTTAAGGCCAGATGGGTTCATTCGCCATGGCAACCTGCATTCTGGGCTCTCTGATATTTAGTCTGTTTCTTTATCACCAGGTGTGACCCAGTACAGATACCCTTTGTGAGAACTCAAGTCTTTCCACCCTTTGAACTGTGCAGTAGGGACTTAGCAGATAAGTTTTTTCTATGATGCTCTGTAGCTATTAGAGATTCATTTTTGAAGCATTTTTGAGCTGCTAATATTTAGTAGAAAAAGTACAACTTTATATTTTAGTTCTAGGGTAAAGAAAAAATTTAAAGCTCAAATATAATATTCTTACTCTAAGAAGTGTTCTATCAGTTTTTACTTCTCCTCCAATTACTGGTCTCTCCTGATTCCATCTAGAAGTTATTGGTTAATGTAGTTGTGTAACATATGGGGCCGGCTTGTTGGGGTTTCTGTCCTGCCCAGTTCCCACAGCCGGCAAGTCCCAAAGAAAAATCACACAGAGAGTCCCTCTCCCCATTTTTTTAAAAAACAGGAAAATATCCATAGTTCATTTTTTGGAAATGTGGGCATAGTATTCCAGGCTACTTCCGGCTGGTTGCGGGCGCTGATAATATGATCAAGTCCTAACTGGAGTATCCTGTGAGGCTTGATCATCTCAAGCAGCATCTTGAATCCTTTCTGGATGTAGAACTCTGACGTCTGGGCCATCTGTTCCTACCAGAGATTTCTCAGGTGGTCTTCCTTGATCAAACCTGATTTTTCTTAACTCAGAATGAATCCATAGCCTCTCATTTCCTGTGGAAACAAGCAAAATCTCTTCTCCAAAGTAACATACCTTTTGACTTCAATTTTGAAGTCAAGGTATTTTCAAAATACCTATCTTAGATTAATTCAGCAGCATTTATAAGCAAATATCTTTTAGCAGCTGTTGCTCTTTCCTCAGCATTCAAACAATTCAAAGAGAGCACAATAACATACAATATCAAGATTCTCTGTGTGTTTTCCATCTTTATGTGGCTTTATTTTAAACTCTGTTTTTTTATTTTTAATTTTTGGCTTTTTGAGACAGGGTTTCTGTATATCTTTGTCCTGGAACTCACTCTGTAGACCAGGCTATCCTTGAATTCACAGAGATCCTCCTGTCTCTGCCTCCCCGGGGCTGGGATTAAAGGTGTGTGTTACCACACTTTGAACTCACAGAGGTCCGTCTGCCTCTGTCTACCAAGTGTTGGGATTAAAGGTGTGTACCACCACACCCTACTACTCTTTTTCTTTTTTCTTTTAAGGACTTTAACCTTTTTTTTCAAGCCTGAGTATACTTTTAACACATTGTAAACCATTTAGAGGTTTTCTTCAACTTTGAATCTTTCATTTACTGTATATCTCTCTCTTTCTGACTACATGAGTCTTAAATTTACCAATCAATATGGGTAGGATTAAAGCCGTGGCTTTGACAGCTGGATCCAGCCCATTCTTTAGCTTTCTGTGATTCCAGCCTCATGGCAGAGGTACTGGCTATAGCCACATTTATTGCCACAACTCTACAGCGTTTCACGGTTCTTGCCAGCAAGCATGCTGCAACAGTGTGCTCACAAACCACACTCAAATGCTTCATAGTTCAACCGCCTGCCTGAAAGAGTCAGAGTTTGTCCTGGCAGGATGGCCCAGAAAGCTGGCATTTTAAAATGGTGCAGCTTTTTTCCTGCTAGTGCTGAAAACCAAAAAGCATGCAATCAGTTTTTCATCAACACTATGTAAGTGTCTTGTGGCAGGACCTCTTAAAAGAGCTGCAAAGTTTTGTAGCTAAAGCTGAGTGAGGAAGCCTCTCTTAAATAGAGCACTTGCTTACCTCTAGCAAGCAGAGCAGACCTGAGAAATTGCTGCTACCAAGAAGCCATGCTTTTTTCTGCACAGAATTACTTCCCAAGTTCTGTCAGGCTTTATGTGGATGCAGTTGTCCATGTGGGCGCCATTCTGTAACCAGCTTGTTGGGGTGTCTGTTCTGCCCAGTTCCCACAGCTGGCAAGTCCCAAAGAAAAATCACACAGAGAGTCTACATTAGATATAAACTGATTGGCCCATTAGCTCAGGCTTTGTATTAGCTCTTATAGCATATTAACCCATTCTTATCTATGTTAGCCACATGGCTCGGTACCTTTTTTAGCGGGGCAGGTCACATCTTGCTTCTTCTGTGGTCTGGGCAGGACTGCAGGAGAATGGACTTCCTCCTTCCCAGCAGTCTCCTGTCCTCATTGCCCCACCTTTACTTCCTGTCTGGTTGTTCCACCTATACTTCCTGCCTGGCCAATCAATGTTTATTTAAAGCATGATTGACAATATACAGACAGTTTTCCCGTACCATGGTTGTATTTTCAAGATATATCTTGTTTAGGGCATTTTTCCCCATAAAAAAAACCCCACAAACAACCCAGCAAATGTTTCTTCTTCCCAGATTGTGTCCCAGTGAACACCTAGAAGTGAGCTGTTCCTATATCTAATCATGTTTATTAGCAATGTACACAGACAATATTTGTCATTTAACATAGTGTCACTTTATTTGTGCAATTCTTTACTATTTTTTTGAGACAGAGTGTTGCTGCATAGTCCAGGTAGGCCTCATATGTGCAGCCTGCCTGCCTCAGGCTCCCAAGTGCTGGGCTTACAAATGTGTGTAACTACTCTTGGGTTCGTAATTTCACATGTATTGGCTCAGTTTTTAACATTACTTAAAAGGTAGATAGGTACTTATAACCTATTTACATACATCTTATATGAGTTGACCTATTGTCATGTAATCTTTACTCTGGTTTTATGAGCTACGTACTATTATTTATCTTGTAAATGATAATTTCCCAAGATATTCAGATTCTATGACTTGCCATGGTTTTCTAAGATTTCATTTTTGGTTCCCCTCAGGGCTAACATGTATTATAACAAGAAAATCATCAAAGAAAAGGCATGTAGATCAAGTCTGGAGGAACCAGGTGGAGCCCCTAAAAATCATACTCTATGGAATCACAGGGCACATTTTTTTTTAGGAGCAAACTGTGATATATGACAGGTACCCTGGAAAGCTCACTGGTGACTATCAAGCTCTTGATGGGGTGAGGCTATTCATGTAACCATTCTATCTAATATGTAACAGTTCCATTCCCAAAGAAAGGAAAGTGGTAGACATCACTCATTAGTTACCAGTTCTGGGAACTCCCAGCATCCAGGTTCCCAGATGCCTGTTAGGTACTAGCCTTATGCTTGGATGCAGTCAGTATGAAGTCTTTTAAGTGAGTTCTACATAGCCTTATGATCTGGAGGACAGGATCTGGAGCCTGATAGAGAGATGGTAGTCTGCCTAGGTTAGTTTATGTTCAGATCCTGTATTCCACCATGTGCATATCCTCAATAGAAATATGACAAACTTGAAAATACACAGAAAGCAGTTCAGTTATGGAATGATTGAGGAGTGCGGGGGGCCATCCTGTCCCGCAGGAATGAACGCCACCAAAAACGAGAATTCCTTCTCTGGTCACATCTTTATTTGGAGCATTCCCTTGAGGAAAATTGAGGGAAGGGAAGATAGAGCAGGGACAAGAGAAAGCTTAGAGAGAGAGCGTTGGGCCCCGAGGCAGCTGCTTTTAAACGGTGGAGCAGCTTGAACGCTGTCCTGATTGGTTAATGCCATTCTGCTGGTCTGAGCATGTGCAAGCAAGGGTGCTCAGCCCCACGTGGCTACCTCCAAACTGCAGGACCACCTGTGCCTCCAGGTGGCTCCCAACATCTCCCTCTTCTCTTGTTAATAAGAGCAATAAGGCAAAACTATTCTTCAATCTGGTCCCCACCTCACTTGGGCTAGCAGGTAGCACACCAATCAAAGACATACAGCACTTCCACCTATACGCAGCATGCCAAGAATATCTCTGCTCCCACCCATTCCTAAGGAAGGAAAAGGCAAAGTAGAGTCAGTCAGAAAATTGTTAAGAGATAAGAGGTTGCACAGGGTGTTGCTCAAGGCGATAACGTGAGACAGCTGCTCTTGACATCGCCCAGAAGGTCATCTCTGCTGCCTCCGCACGAATCTTCCACAGCAGGACACTCAGCATCCACTGGGTCATCTTCTTTATCTCTCTGGTCGGTCTCGCTGGCATCCAGATGTATGTCAGCATTCCTAGAAAAACATAAACAAAACTCTCCTCCCAAATTAACATTTAAGAGTATTAAAAACTCTCAGTGTAAAAATTCAGCACAATCAGTACTGGAAGTAGGCTGGTTTTGAACTTAGAGACCTGCAGGTCTCTGCTTCAAAAAGCAAATCTTGTTTGCCTGTACCAGCAAAATTTTGAATTAAAAATTAAGTGTAAAGAATGCAAGAGAAATCCTTTCTCTGGGGGAAGCTAGTCCCCCTCTTTGTCTAATAACCAAAACAGTTGTCACTGGGAATTGAACTCAGGACCTTTGGAAGAGCAGTCAATGCTCTTAACCTCTGAGCCATCTCTCCAGCTCCCCTATTCAGATGGAAAAACCTCTAGGTAGCATTGTTTAATTCCATCTGTTGCCTCAGGCAATAGGTAATGGTAACCAGGTTGACGCGCCTTTATTATGATGATTAGGACCAGTTCTTTGAGGGAGAATGGGCGTAGACCATCGATCATCTCACTGCTTCCTGCTGACAAAGGGACGTTGTTTGGGGATAAACGTTTTTATCTGACTGAATTTTCGGCGACAAATGTTTTTATCTGACTGAATTCTTGGCGACCTTGGCTGAGGGCGGCAGCAGCGGACGGCAGCGGCAGCGGACGGCGGCGGCTGCCACAGCTCCGCCTTTAAGGCCCCTTATGGCGCGCTCCGCATGGCCCCGCCCCGGGCCGTGCACGGGCTCACCGTTTCACCTCAGGCAATGAACTCGCACCGCCGGCTGTGAGTCTTTTCCAAGCTCCGGCGAGGGGGGGCATCCGCCCACCCATGGAGGGCCCGGTTAGGGCCGCGGGGGCCCCAGTCTCAGACCTTCCCAGGGGTCTCCGTCTTTAGGTCATAAGCGGCGCTGCTGCTCACCACGCAGCTTCCGCCTCAGTCAGGCGAGTCCGCTCAGGTGCTGAAAAAGTCCTCCAAAAACCATAGCCCCGCCAGAAGGCCGGGACATATAGCCTCTGATGTCACACGGACTTTAGCCCGCCCGTCACCATGGCGACCTGGCTTTTCGTAGACCTCCAGCAAACTCCCCGCCAGCAACCGGTTAGCATGGCCACGCCTCCCGAACGAGCTAGCACTCTCCAGTGCAATTTTGCGTCTCCCTCCTGAGTAGCTGGGATAACAGGTGTGCCACCACCGCCGGCTACTTCCTCAAACAAAATTCAAGTTTTCTGTACCTGAGAGCCAGAGACTGAGCTCTCTTAACAAAATTAGGCGAAAATCACCTCCAAAAGCTCTGTGGCTCTTTAAGAATAGGGAAGGCAGTCTTAGAACACGATCAAACTCACCTCCCTACGAGACTGTTGCCTCCGAGTCTCTCATCAGCGAGTACGCAGGTGGACGGAGAGGGAGCGGAAGCCGCGGTCTCCCGTACCCCATCGTCCTCAAAGTCCCGCCTTAGTTACCTCGCCTTTTTTGCTGCTGTTTTTATTTACATTCCTCCTGCACTGAACTTAAGGGATTTTTCTTCCCCGTTGCTTTCTGTACCTTCTTTCAGATACCTTAACTTTGATTTTTTTTTTTGTATTTTCTTTTCTTTTTAGGCCTATCCTTTGAAATTCTTTTTCCTCCCCTTTCTGGAGGAATTCAACCGACGTCACTCACCGCTCCACGTTCTCAGAGTTCTGAAATTCACGGCTCTCTGTGTCCTGGTGTCTGATCTCAGCTTTTTCTCCCCCCGGACTTTCAGCGCGTTGCTGGGCGCTTCCTTCTCAGGGTCCCCCGGCGTAGTTGTCAGGGTCCCTCAGCGTCCCGGGGTTTCGAGCACCAGTTGCGGGGGGCCATCCTGTCCCACAGGAATGAACGCCACCAAAAACGAGAATTCCTTCTCTGGTCACATCTTTATTTGGAGCATTCCCTTGAGGAAAATTGAGGGAAGGGAAGATAGAGCAGGGACAAGAGAAAGCTTAGAGAGAGAGCGTTGGGCCCCGAGGCAGCTGCTTTTAAACGGTGGAGCAGCTTGAACGCTGTCCTGATTGGTTAATGCCATTCTGCTGGTCTGAGCATGTGCAAGCAAGGGTGCTCAGCCCCACGTGGCTACCTCCAAACTGCAGGACCACCTGTGCCTCCAGGTGGCTCCCAACAGAGGAGCACGAGCGCTCATGTTCTTTATCCCACATCACGTTCTCAGAACCATCTTGGCGGAGTTGGCAGCAGGCTCTCTTAGCCAGAGCTCTTCTCAATGAATACTTACCATACCTTCCTGTTGTATTACCAGCACTGTCCCTGAAAAGTTATTTCTTCTAGTAATCTAAAAAACAGTTTCCTAATGCATTTAGTTTCTGTTAATCCACTGATCTGTCAAGTGATCTTGAACAGATCATTTAATGGCTTTCTCTGAGGTTTATCTTTTAAAATGAGGACACATTTTACATGGGAATCACATCAGCAGTTTGTGTCTGTGACATGACCACTTTCCATCCTAAGTCAGCTTTCTGTCCTTTTTAGACTGAAATTGTTAGTAGCATATTTTTATTGCTGTTCAGGGGTCAAATGGAAGTAAGTACTCTGGTGTGGAGACTTACTTAGGGGAGGAGATAGCATGGCAGACCCTTGGCTGGCACGTGTGGTTATGGAGCTAAGCTTTTACTTCTGTCCCAAGAAAATTATTTTCATATTCTAATTTTAAAATTGAGAATATTAATGAAATAAACTGCATAAGTTAAGCCACACTCCTTTTTTATTAGCATTTAATTACACTAATACTTTTGCAAGGCAGATACTGTAAATGAAGTCCAAACAGATCTTCCTCGTGTGGTGATTTTTTCCTTAAAGGAGTTGCAAAGTGCCAGACTCAGCCATTTTGAGGAGCATCACTAAGGAGTAATTTGGAGGCATTAGAGACATGTTATCATTTACAAAGTTCATGCTTGAAAACTGTATAATTGACTCAACAAGTTTCATAAAAATATTCTGTCTTAAGTTTTTGTGATGAGCTGCATTCTTTTTATCCTCTGACACTTGCGGTTGTTCAGGTTGGACTTGCCTATCTTAGGGTTGGATGCAGAACAGAAAACAGGGTCAGAATATTTCAAGAAATACTGGGAATATTTTAGCAACTAGATGTCCTCAGTCACCAAAAGATGGTGCAAAACTGCCAAGACTGGAAACAAAGCCAAGAAAGCTGTGGACAGAAAAGTGATCACCACCTCCATCCCACACCTTTCTGTGTAGTCAGATGTCATCTGGTAAAAAGTACAACAGATAGAACAAAGCAAGCTTCTGCTGGGCTCAGGGCTTCAGTTCACTTTTATTTTCATTTTCAGTGTCTTTTTCTTGTTATTTTTTATGGGCTGCTGCTTTTATACATTTTTCTGTGATGAGTTTTTTCTTTTCTTCCTCATTGCATCAGAGCCAAGTTGACACTGCTCCCAGTACATTCTTCCCTGGTGTCCACATTCTCCACCTTCTACCTAGGTGATAGGTCCTTCACTGTGGGTGACTTCCCCTCGACTTTAGGATCCTGCTGTACTGACACACACCCAATTATATATCTGGGCTTCCTTGTAAAGCATGCAATGAGTATGCCTGTAGTTTTCACTAAGGAATTCTGTGGCAGTGATGCTGCTGATGACAAATGGCTGAGCCTGATCTTCTGATCCAGGACTGACCTCAGGGCACCATGCTAGTTGAAATGCACAGCCTTTTTTTCTTTTTTAAAAGCATGATTGCAGGACCTACTCCATTTGTTCTAGTGCTCTTGAAAAGTTTTCCAAAGCAGTTTTGAAAGCTTGCATCAAGAAAGTACCAAGTTCATTGCTGGTTTCATGTATGTCTGGGTCAAAACTTCCATAAAGGGGAGTGGAGGCCTGGATGTCCTCCCGATTAGCTTGAAGCAGTACTGCTCGCAAATCCTCTGCAATCATGTCATATTTCTGTTGATCAAATTTGGACAAAGACAGCTCATCCTGGGGGTAGGTAGTGCCCTCAGGGTAGCAGTCTTTTGGCACTGGAAACTCAATGTGGCGCAGCCTAGGGAGTTCACAGAGCGCAGCAAAAAGGCGCCGGAGAGCACTGGCTGACAGTGGGTTTCCAAGGAACTTGAACTCCTGGAGCTGGTTGCAAGGACTGAGGCCCAGAATCATCATGCCGACATGGTTATCTGTGATGTTGCACTCCTCTAATGTGAGCACTCTTAGTGTGTGGGCAGCCTGGCTCAGCAGCCGGAAGAAGGTAGAAGGGTACAAATGGACCAGGTTGTGTCCACTGAGGTCCAGCACCTCCAAGTGGGCAGTATGCTTACAATCTGCTAAGAAGGACATGTCTTCATGATTAAGGGCACAGTTGGCTAGGTCCAGCACTCTTAGTGGAGTCTTCAAGGGGCTGTGAAGTAGGCAAAAACATCACAATGTTATGAGGGTCCCAGGTGAGCCAGAGTTTTGATGGCTATGGACAATACATCCACCTTTCTATCTTAGGGATCATAGATGGCGGCCTACCAGAAACTCCAGCTGACACTTCATTTCACATGGCTTCTGAGTTAAGAATGACTGATATTTTTAAGCAATTAAATCAAAATAGTTTGACATGTGAAAGTTACATGTTTCTTCTGGCAGTCTATGGCTGCTGGTTCTGCTTAACAGTCAATAATTGAACCTAAAATGAACCAACACCACACTTCAAGTTGGGTTAGGGAAGTTATGCACATGATCTCAGAATCGTCAGAATATTGACTGGGGTCATCAAAAGACAGAATTAGCTTGAAAGAAGGTATCGTCACTCAGATGACAATAGAACCAATACATTTTCAGGGCTGGGAAGGGAAGTCCAGCACCCTGAATTTGGACTCCATATCCTGAATTCACTAGGCATTCTGTATCAGATGCGGGAGGTGTGTCTCTGAAATAAATCTCCACCCAGGATTCATGAGAATATACATTTTCAGGTCAGATGCTGGCTTTTCTGGGAACATGCCCATCACTGCCCTTGTTAGGCAAGGCAGTATGTACTAGGATCTAGTTCTTTGTCCTTAATACCCTGTTTTTGCTGTCTCCCCATGGCCTGACCACATGTGGTCCCACATGAAGATACCTTAACTTTATCATTGCCTGGCAGCTGAGCTCCTGCCCTTCTTCAATAGCAGAGTTGCTGAGGAGGCGATAACAGTACCAGAGTTTCAGGTGAGACAACAGTTCACCTGCCAACTGGCCCAACATTCTCACTATGCTGAACTATATTTCCATTCCTTACCTGAGAAAATGTTTTAAGACACTAAACATTGGGTAATTTGTTATACAACAATAGTCAGTAGAAGAGCTAGTTGTGCCTCCTGTGTTGTTTACTTTCTAATTAGTGCCCTCCTTCCCCTCCCTTCTCTTCCCCCTCTCTGATGCTGAGAATTAAAACTGGGATCCTGCTAGTGCTTTATTACTGAACTGCCCTATATGCTCAGCCCTTGTTTTTGCTTTATGTTGAGATAAGGCCTTTCTTTATAGTTGGCCTCAAATATAAAATGATTATGCCTCCTGCGTGCTGGGATTATGGCCAAGCCCCCACGACTGGCTTTTGTTAATTGAAAGGAAATTTCCAAGTTGGCTCAGTGCTATGATTCTTTCCTGATGGTTCTTAACTCCCGTGGTTCTGGCCAACCATATCCAGAGAACACTGTGTAAGCAGATCCCATCTCTATCCCTATACTTCAGTAACTCCACCCAATCTGTGCCCAATTTTCTGAGACTTACCTAAGCAGTGTTCGGATCTTTCCAGTCAGTGTAGAGAAAGCTACACTTAGCTCGGTGAGCTTGTTCATCTGGCTGAGCTCCCAGGCAATAGAGGTGAGGAGGGGATCCTCACCCTCTGGAGTTGGGGTACAGGTGGGGGGTGCATCGAAGGCCTTCGTGGGTAGGGTGAGTGAGGTCAGCTGAGGAAGGCCCACCTGGGCCAGCAGCTGCTGTACATGGCCAGCATGCAATCGCACATTATGAACTACCTCCAACTTTCTTAGCTTGCTTGGCCCAGCTAGGCCAAGCACTTGTAGGAGCTGCCTAGGGCTCAGGCTATCTGCCCGGAGTGAAGGGCAGCAGACCTGCAGAGGGGCTGGGCCTGCTGGCTTCAAGGCCTGCACCACTATGTCAAAGTTGCCTTCAGTGACAAAGAGGTCAGCAAAGACTTCAATAGGGTGCCTAGCTGTACAGGGCTGTCCTTGGAGCTGGCAGCAGATCCTGGCCAGCACTTTAGTGCGGCCCCACCTTCCTAGTGCCCTCCCACAAGGACATTGCTGCACCTGTACATCCTGGATGCCTGTAAAATCAGCTACCCGAAGCCGGTCGCTCCTACTTTGCAGCACATGGTCAGCAAGGCCCTGCATACAGGCCTCTAAGCAGGCCTCGCAGGCACGATCACGCAGGTCTTCTGGGTGGTCAGTGTTTGGCCCCAGCAGCACAGTCAGCCGGAACTCCTCTAGTGGCCAGTGACTCAGCACAGCACGGGTTACTTCTGCCTGCTCTAGCAGGTAACTGGCCTTGAACAGGAGTGGATAGAGGTTGTAGGCTATCTGATCCAGACTCTCCTGGGCCACCCGAGGATGGGACACCAAGGCTTCAGCAGAAATGAAACGGAGCGACCTCATTTTGTCCCTCTCAGGATAGTGCTGTCCCCGTTGTTCCTCCCAAAGCCTTTGAGTTTTGTGCCTACTTTTAGCTGCTGCTGTTTCTGGGTTCTGGACAGAAAGTGGTAAACTGGCCCTTGTGGTCATCTGACTGCTATTTTGGTCCTTGGATACTAGTTTGGCTGTGACTGTGGAGGCATCTGTCTGTTTCATGGCATCCTGCTGATGAAATCGGAGCTGCTTGGCTTTGTTGCCCAATGTGGAGTCAATAAAAGGCTGAGCTCAAGGTACTTACTTGCCCAAATACACTAAGACTTACAATCCAAATGGATACTCTGCCCAACCCTGGCCTATTCCAGTTAAAATGTCTGAGTGAAGCCAGATCCTGAGCTGCTCTTGGATGGATGAGACAACTGTCTTTGAATAAAGCCCTTCTTTTTCTTATACCTTAGAGTCAGAGATACAAGGACCAGGGTTGTGGGGATAAGTATATTACATAACTCTTTTCAAATTTTAAGAATACTGGCCCATGAAACTCACTATCTCTTATTCCCAAGGTCCATCTTTCCACAAAAGGGAGAAATATTTCCCCTGTAGAGCAGATATAGGCAAGTGATGCTGCAAATAAATGCAACTCCCATAGGCTGTGAATTTTCATCCCTGGCCTAGGTAGGTGTTGAATAACTGTTGAATGGTTAGTTCCTACCTTATCACCATCCATAACCTGGGATAGGGCAGCAGTCCTGGCTTGTAGGTCCCCATGGTGCCAACTGTACAAGAGGGTCATAGTAGAGAAAGGGAGGGAGAGGCAGAAGTCAGACAGTGGACAATACAGGTGAGTGTGCTGCACTCGGGTGTACCCTAGTTTCCCTGTGTGACCTTCTTTGACTTCTTCCTCCTGATCTAGAGCCTTATCTCTCCCAAAGACTCTGTCATGGCCATAGACCCGAATATGCTACTGTGGTGAAGCACCCAGCATTGCCAGGTAGGCAGGATTTCTATGGAAGGTAAAAATCCATGGCACAACTTTGCCCTAATTTCACCGCTTGTCCCTGTTCCCAGTCTTGGCTATTGTTGGTTGTTTTTTACTCTTTACGCTCTGCTTTTTTTGTGGGGCCTGCCAACCAGCTCCCAAATAAATCAGAGAGAGGCTTATTCTTTCTTATGAATGCTCAGGCTTAGCTTGGCTTTTCTAGCCAACTTTTCTTAACTTAAAGTATCCCATCTACCTTTCCCTTTCCCTATTTCTATATATCTTTTCTTTCCTTCTTATTCCATGTCTGACTGTGTGACTGGTTGACTGGTCCCTTTTTTCTGGCTCCTCGATAATTTCTCCCCAGATTTCTCCTCCTATTTATTCTCTCTGCCTGCCAGCCCTGCCTAATGTTTCTCCTGCCTTGCTATTGACTGTTCAGCTTTTAATTAGATGAGCAATCAGTTGTTTCAAACAGGTAAGGTAACGCAGCTTCACAGAGTTAAACAAATGCAACATAAAAGAATTTAATGCATGTTTGCATCATTAAATAAATGTTCTACAGCATAAACAAATATAACATATTAATATTATATAACACTTGACCTCTGAACTGGTACCATGTCTGTTAAATAAGAACCCAAAATTAGTGATACCAACATCTGTCTTTTAAGCTATAAATTTTGAAGTACACATGACTAGGTTATTAGTGATCTAGGTCTAAATTCACTGCTGTATGAATCGCTTTGAAATGTGTTTGGAAATAATAGTATGCAAAGTGATTTATATCATTTTTAAATGTTCCATGAGTACCTTGAGCCTCCTGCCATGCTTATAGAATTTCACAGCTGAAATGGACACTTAAAAAATTACATTTATTTATTTGTGTATATACATCTGTATGTGTGTGTACACAAGCGCAAGTATGTGTATTTCAAAGTATGCATGTGGAAGTCAGAGAATAACTTGCATGAGTTAGTTCTTTCCTTTTATAATGTGAGTTCTGGGGATCTAACTCTGATTGTCAGCCAGCAAGTGGCCTACAAAGTCACTCCATTGTCCCTGAAATGGACAATTTGACACAATATCTCTGCTTGTGCAATAAAGCTTACTTGCTTTTTATATTGATCTTCATTGTGATTAATTCTTAAATGATATCTCAGTGTTCATATCTACCCTATTTCATGAGCTGTATTTCAAAACTCATATCTTTTCTTGTTTGTAACTACTCATGACTTCATATTTCTGATTTCATGTGAAATCTTCAAGTCCCCAGCATTACATAAGATTTCAACTTTTAGAGAAATATCACTCTTTTTCTCTTTGTTTTGATATAGGATTTCATTTAGCTCAGGATAGCCTAGAACTTGCCATGTAACTAAAGATAAATTTGAACCTGTGATCCTTCTACCCAACTCCCAAGTTCAGGTATTATAAGGATGCATCACTAACCCAATCTAGGAAATCTTTTGAGTTTAATTTCTAAAACTCCAGCATCACCCCATCCTTTCTCTTTACCATTTAACTTTTAAAGAATAGTTATCATTTCTTCCCAATCCAAGTAAGTTTTGACTTGCAAAAAGATCTCTCTGTGGTTGTTGCTTCATTAATATAAATAATGTCTTCCATTAAAATATGAATACAATCATCTGCCTTCCCTTACATAAAATCACTGAATGTTCCTATTTTCATCTTACTAGGCATGGAAAAATTTGATACATGAGACTTATTTGAGATAATTTTGTGATTATTTCTTTCTTGGCTCTTTAAAAATAGTTATATGGAAATTTTGTATCCACACAATGTGTTTAGACCCAGTTCACACCCCCAGTCCTGCTGTGGAATGGTCTTTCTGTACACTGCGAATGTGCTGCTGTCATTAGTTGACAAGTAAAGCTGGAGGGACGTCTACCTAGATTTTGCTGTCTCATCCTCACTCAGTAGCTTTGAGACTATCCTTTAAACTTGAGTCAGACTTTTCTATGTCCTACAGGCCTCGAGGTACAAGCCCTGAGATAATTTTGGCCCAACACATAGAATTATACCATCTGCAAATAAGGATACTTTGACTTCATTTCCTACTGGTATCCCTTTTATCTCTTTCACTTGTTGATTTAGGAGTCCATGTCTGAATTTGAACAGCAGTGGAAAAAAATAACCCACTAGCCAGGTGTGATGGCACACACCTTTAATACTAGCACTCAGGAAGCAAAGCCAGGAATATTTGTATGATTTCCAGGACAGCTTGGTCTACATAGTGAGTTAGACCAGCCAAAGCTACATTGTGGGAACTTGCCTTAAAAACAAACAAAAAACCCAAAACAAACAAAACAGAAAACAAACCAACTTAAAAAAACCACACCAGTGAGTAAGAATTGGGTTAAGAATGAAATTTGAGAATTTCTAGACTTCAGAAAAAAAAAAAGCAAAATCCAATTGATTCAATGAAACTTTCATTCAGGGAAAGTTTAAAGCACCAGTGTCAATATAAATAATGACATGCAGGATGTGTGTTGGCTAGTTTGTGTCACTTGAAAAGAACTAAGTTCAATTGAGAAAATTCCCCTATCAGATTATCCTGCAGGCAAACCTGTAGGTTATTGTCTTAATTAATAATTTATGTAGGAGGGCACAGCCCATTGTGGGCAATGCCACTTCTGGGAAGGCAGTTCTTGAAGTTATAAGAAAACAGGTTGAGCAAGCTAGCAAACAGCATTACTCTATGGCCTCGACGTCAGTGTCTGCCTCTAGAATCCTGCCTTCAGTTCCTTCCCCCACTCCTCTAGATTATGGACCATCAACTGTAAGATAAAAGAATACTTTCTCATCCAAGTTACATCAGTCATGGTGTTTTATCACAGTAGTTGAAACTCTAATACAGAAATTGGTACCAAGAATGAAGTATTGCTGTGACAGGTCTGAGCATATTTTGGGAAGAATTGTGAACTTTTGAACTTTCGGCTAGAAAAGCCATTGAGTGTTCTGGGCTCAATGAACTAGTACAGGAACTTAGAAGTTAATGCCAAGAATAGTCCAGATGATGGAGGTGTCATTTGTAAAATTTCAGAGGGAATTTTGTGAGTCCTTAAAAGGCTCTATCAAGATCATTTATGAGATATTTTGAATTTAAAACCACCAATGTGATACCTTTGCTTCACTGGGACAATCAATGCTTATCATCTGGGGCTGAGAAACCAGCTGTGATTAAGAAGAAACCAGCATCATCGAGGTAAAAATCTGTGAAGTGTTTCCTCAGGATCAGCGTACAGACACTCTGATCCGGAGGGTGGGGTCAATGTTGTATCTTGTGCTTACAACTGAACTTGGTAACCTGCAGGAGTTTCTGTTGTGGGAGTAACTTCCGCTGCCTCAACCAATAGTCGCTGAAATACGAGCCCACAGTGCAGCGGGGAGCAACTTCCGCTCCGTCAGCCAATAGCTGCTGAAATACCAGCCCACTGGGGCGTGGTATATTTCTCTTTTAAAAAGAGAAGCATATCCGGAATAGGCTCTCTTGGTTCCGGCTCTTGGTTCCGGTGCTCGGTCTCGGCTGCTGCTCCCGGCTCCTGCTCCAGCGACTAGGCTCCCTTCCTGACGGTTTATGGTGTATGTAAGTTTTACCCCCCGCCAAATAAATAACCCCTTAAAATATAACTGATGTGGGATTGATTCGTTAATAAGTTTCCCAGGTGATGTTGATTTTTAAGTCATTAAGGGATCATGGAAACCAGTAGAAGCTTATAACTGTAAGAGGCCAGGAGAAGCCATTGGTGAATATGCAACCTGTGTTGAAATTGAAACCCCAGAATTGATGGAGTCATGGAGAGAAGTTGACAATTGGCACTGTGGCAGGGTCAGAGTCCCTGAAGAGAGCCCAGAAGAAACTATTGGCAAAGGTTCAGCAATAAGGTCTCTTTTCAGTGATTTATTTACATATAGATAAACGAAACCACCCAATAAAGATGTAAAAATAGACTGGTAGGAACAAATCTGAAATAATTCAAATATATACATTATATTGTAGATTTTCTCTTAGGTTCAAGAACACATAAAAGATAAAACTGAAAGGATGGAAAAATACTTTTTGCAAATAGTGACCACAAGGGATAATTA